GAGCCAACAGTAACACTGATACTATTGTGTGCGCGTGTGTGTGCCCACATACATCCATATGTGTATGTGTGTCTGCAGCTTAACATAGCTTACACTCTGCCGTTGCCCAATTTGTACTTTAGAGATGTCAGCAGGAGATCTGGAAGCAAACATTTTTTCATTCTCTGTCTGATTCTTTTTAAATCCCTTTCTTCTGTTTCTCCTCTTTAACCCCCTTTCACTCTTGTTTCCAGTCCTGTCAGTACTAATCTTATTTTTAACCAAGTTGTTGCCCCTTTGCCCTTTATTACCAAATGCAAAATTGCTCTCGAGCGGTAATGCTGCCATCTGTTTCATCATACTAGATGTTTTCTTTTTCATCTTTAATCAGAAGTTTGATTACATTTCAGTGGTTCTTGGGTGATGAAAGGAGCATGCAAGCTCCCACATCAAACACAAATATGCAAATAAGCAAATAGTCTTTCAAGAGCAGTAGTAGACCTTACAGTCCACATGCCTCCCTCGCAGATTTGACTGACACCAGGGAATCCTGACTAAGCAGAACATTGACAATGTAAACAAATCTCAGAAGAGATTATTGCATATGTAACTTTGAAGTGGCTGAGACTGCACGATGCCATAGCTGAGGTTTGACACATACAGTGAAACCAGATGCTCTCTCGCGTGTCGCTCTGGTTTTGGCACGGCTGCTGTTTGTCAATGCAGCGTTGGCTGGCTGCCCTTAGGGAAACAAGACACATTGGAGACAGATGTAAAAGTTTCCCTATGGATGCTGTGAGGAATTATAGGCTCTTGAGACACAAGATGGATAAAAAGAGAGACAAGAGATAAAGATGCAGCAGCAGAGGGAGGAGAGACTGGAAGACGGATGGACAGACATGAGAGATGAAATTGAAGACAGGTTTAGAAGTGACTTCAAGAGAGGAAAAATGACACCAGAGAGGAAGTTAAAGATGGATAGGCAGAAGAGTTGGAGCGTGATGGAGAGTGGAGAGAAGTTGAATGGATAGGTGGAAGAGATGTGAAGCTGGATAGACAGCAGGAGTGAGAGAGGTTGGTGAGAGGTGAGACAGTGGTGTGGTTTCCACAGTGAGGCGATGAGCTGCTGGAGTGATAACAAGCAACAGATGGAAGCTGTTAGCTCACCTTTCCCCTCTCTCTGTGGGTGTGTGTGGTATTTATGTGCTTAAATTTTTGGTGTAATTTGAGGGAGATTTGTGTATACGGAGTGATTTACAAGAGGTGGAAAGAAAGAAGAGAAAGAGACATCAAACAGGAATCTGCTTCCAGGCCTGAGCGTGTTTATGAGTGTGTGTATACAGCATATGGGGAGACACAAAATGAAATGAACTACACTGTGCAAAAAAATGCGTGTGTAGGACAATGAGAATCTGATATATACTTCATTTTATGGATGAAAGTTCCGGTAACTGCAATACACAGAACCAAGCACCCTTGTGTTTAAAGACGAACACCATTTAGCCTAAAGCTCCACTGTGTCTAAGAACACCTTTACAGAGCTGCTAGCATTGCTGTAGACTTTTTAAGTCTTATTTCATTTTTGCACCTGCCACTTAAGATACATATAAGCCACTGCAGGCATGATGTTGCTTCAAAGAGTCGGAATGAGCTGTATATTTGTCATTTCTGTGACTCTCTCAGACAATGTGGAAGAAACTTTAAAGCTCAGTAAAAAGAAATGTCAAGAGCACTGAGCCAGGTTAACTTACTGTGCACAAAATTTGATAATCATGCCCTAATAACCTGACAGTATCCATCTTCTGCAATCTTTCCTGTCAAAACAAAGAGGTGTGCCATGAACATTACATCTTGCCCCAATACCTACAGTATCAGTTAAAGGTCTCAGCACACACCACAAGTTATTCTTCATCACTCACTCTCCAGCCGAAGGTCATCTCAACGCTCAGAGCCAGGAGGAAAAAGTTGAACTTGTGGAGACAGACAGTCATCAGCTGACGATTGTAGAGCTGCCTGCATGTTTGGCTGATAAACTGTGTCATGATAACGCATATTAGACCTTCCCGCTGAAATATCTGGCCTCTACACGTCTACTGTCAGTGCTCATATTTGATTTGTGCTACGTGGTGAGTTTTGTTTAAGTCGGTTTGCAGTAGCAGTGTAACTTTTTTTGCTTTTCATCAAAAAATGCCAATAACATTTAGCTAATTTTGTCATAAATAACCAATATATTCAAACACTGAGAAAATAAAACCTTTGGTATGAAAATTCATATCATGCAAAAGCACAGAGCTTCAGTATTTAATGTAAAACAGTTCCAATGCTTATCTTCTTTGCTCTCCTCATCATATTTTTTCTCTGCCTGCCATGTCAGTCCCAATAAATCCATCAGACGTTAACCACACTGTCTCTCTGTCTTGTGGCTTTCTCTGCCTGCCTCTCTTCCTACTCATTATTTTCTTACTTTTACCAGCTGCTAAAAGCCACAAGACCCCCCCCACCCCAGCTTTATCTTTCTTTCTCTTTCTTTCTCTAACTTCCTCCAACTCCCTCTCTCCCTACAGTATATCCCTGATGCCTTGTGTGTTTCCTCGTTATTCTTTCTATTTCTTTCTAACATAACTCTTCTCCTCATCACTGTCTTTAGAGGAACAACATTTAACAGGCTTCAATGTTGGTTGGCCTCAGCGGAGGAAAGTGTTTCAGCAGAGTTGCCGGTTCATCCTGCTTTTAATTTTGCTGCTGCAAAGACCCTATTAGAGAGACATATACAGAGAAAACATGATAACGTTTAAACTGTTGAAAGTGTTCTTCCCTCGCTGTAAAAGTTTCTTCTGCTGTGAAAATGAGGGTAATCTAGGGTGAGACTGTTTGAATGTGTGAGTGTATATCTTGTGTGTGTGTGTGTGTGTGTGTGTGTGTGTGTGTGTGTGTGTGTGTGCCTGCAGACAAAGCGCAACTGAAAAAAAAAGAGTAAAGATCAACTGAAGCATCTATTTGTATCAGTATCTCTGGTTTCAGCTTTTCAATTCTGCTTTTCTTCTGCTTTACATCATAGTAACTTGGATATCTGTGGGTTTTCTGAGTAATTGATAAACAAAATAATTCTTAGGAGTACGCAGATTTTTTTTTTGTGTGTGTAGGGGTAAGCTTATGAGTTTGAGAAACAGACATTTCTAATAAAAACAGATCATTTGTATGTGTATGTATGTGTGTGCAAGGCCCCACTGACAGACAAGGTGTCCCTGGTACATGGGGCCCCTGTGCTTTACTCAGTCAATACAGTACCCTTGCTGAGTGGTGAGTGACTGAGCCTACTTTCTCACCGTGTGTGTGTGTGTGTGCGTGTCATTTAGTGTGTGTAGGACCAAGCGAGAAAAAGAGTGAGAAATAACAAGCGCGACAGACGAGTGATGAGAGCTAGACGGAAAGCCGTTTGAGCTGAAAGACTCCTCCACCGAAAGTTTGGCATACCAAAGACGTCTTCTCACACACTTATTTCTGCCCTTGTCTCGTTACCTAGAGAGAGAGAGAGAGAGAGAGAGACGTGATGAAGAAGAAGAGTGAGGACAAAAAAGGAACGGTAGGAGAGGCAGATGTAAGAGGTGTTTGTGTGAGAAAGTGGAAGATTTCGAATCTGCGGGAGGCTGAGAGGCCAAGAAGCAGTGAGGTTGCTGTTGCTCCTTTACTGGTATGTGTGTGTGTCTGTGTGTGTGTGTGTGTGTGTGAGACACCCCACGTCTAGCTGAACTTCAATTCAACCCAGTCTACCACTCCTGCAGCGTTGTTGCATCAACCTTTTGACTTTGAAGCTGCTGCCAGATCAGAGAGGAGAGCCAGGTGCAGGTTGGTGTGTACAGACGGACTCCTGCTCTCCCACTGATGCATGTTTACTTATATGGGAGTGTGTATCGTGTGTGTGTGTGTGTGCTTGCATAAGGTCATGCACCTCACAGACTTAACAGTAGTGGTTTTCAACTTGTTTAGCACCACTGGATTCAAATACAGTAGTTATCGTGATGTTGACTTTTTTACATTACGGTGACATTCTATGACATATATTTAAAAAACAGTTAACTTTTTACGCTTCCTGTTGTGGTTGGTACTGTACATCTTTCCAGGGAACATCCTTTAATGTGCAGGAATGATGTGTTGAGAGGAGCAGGGTTGGAGACAAATATAGTGGAACAAACTGTGATGTTACATCTGGATTCCCACAGGAGAACTGAAAAGAAATTCAAAATGTAGAATTATATAATATATGTTATATGAATATTTTTTAGCTTCTTTTAAGTCTTTCTTTGCTCCCTCACACGCACCAGGTGCCAAATGTCAGTAATGCAGCTCATTCCAGGTCATGTCTGAAGCCGTAAGGAACATTAACATAGAAGTCACCACGTCTGAATGACAAGACGCTCACTTTAACAGATAGATGAAGCTAGCAATGTTACGTGTTCCATGAATACAAAGGGCTTCAATCTCACCTGGCCAATTGTAATCTGAAAACATCATTAGGGGGCTGGTTGTGGAGAGGGGACAACAAGCAGCTGCAACAAGCGAGGCTGATTATCTCTCAGTTCTTGGCACAAATTGCAGAAATATTCTCACACACAGCAACTATAAACTGCTGGAAGCTTTGATCATAACCTTATTTGTGAACACAAACAAAACAAATCAGAGTAATTCTCCATAATCATATGGCTTTTATAGATATTTGTTGTTTTGTCTTTCATCTGTTTTATTTTTCTGCTTTTTCGCTATGAGCAGTTTAGTTTTACTTGTTTAATCTTGTCTTTATGATTATATCCTCCTGCTGGGATTTCATGCTTTGTAGCTTAAGGGGAATTTCCTTAAGTTCCGTGAAAAGTGCTGTGAAATTAAACTCATTTATCTCTTTTATCATTATCTTCCTAACATTCCTCTCCATTTCATCATGTCCTATTTTATCTGATTTTCTTTCTCATATCCTGTGTGATTCTTTTGAATGTCATTGCTCATCCTTTTCTCTCCTCTCCCTGCAGACCTGCTGTCCACCAACAGGTCGTCTATCTTCAGCGGTCATCATGGCCAGCTCTCTCTTACCGCCGTCTTCCTGGATGAGTACCGTGACCGTCTCTTCCTGGGAGGCAAAGATGTCCTATACTCTCTCCTGCTGGGACCTGCCAGCAGCGAGTCCAAAGAGGTGAGTGTTTTTTCAAGACAGTATACAATATCAGTTAAAGTTGAGTTATTTAAGTATTTTAATGTATTTTACTCTCTGATGATGGAGGTTTTATAAAAGGTTAGTTACTGGGCAGTCTACATTCATCATTCTATTCTGAGCTAACTTGCAGTGACTGTGCAAGGGGGTTTCAGTCTTTAGAATGTGATATATGACTTTAAGAGATAGGCGTAGGATTTTGTATTTTTCCAGAATTCCCCCATTGCAGAACATCTGTTTAAGCACTCTCTGTCATAAATCAACCATTAAAGTTGTGACTCAAACCTCGACAGGCATTTTATTTTATATTACTGCTATTGCATAATCGCTGACACTGTAACAGAAAACCGTGATAAAAATATTAATTGAATCTTAAAGAAAGCTAATTTCTCAGGAACATCTAAATATCAAAATGTATGCATTTGTTATTTCTGACCGATCAATTCTGAACTATAAACATATACAGTATAAATGCACTACATAGAATACATTGTAAAATATGTGGATAAATGCATTAATTGCAGTAAGATAAGCTATTTGGGTTTGATTGCACCTCTTGCTCTTGTATCTTACATGCTTTGCCAAAACATTTCTACAATCTCATTTCCTTTCTGGTGCAGGAATACCTGTAAAAACACTGCTTTTAGCAAATCAAACCTTGTTTTTCCATCTACATCACCTATTATCTGCAGCAAACAGAGGTTGTGCTGTGAGAATTATAGTTTTGTTAACTGTGCTGCATATTTCCACAGTCATCAAACACTTAGAGTGGGACTAACAGAGCAAGTGAAGGAGCAGAAGTAATGCTTTCATGCTATTATCATAATTTCAGATTTAAAGCTTTGTTTTGTTATAACCAAATATAACTGTTTAAATAAAGTTTATTCATTTTGGAAGGATCACAGTTTATGTCACTGTGATAAAGCACTTCATCAGTGTGATGAACATCTTGTTTAATGCAAGAAGACCAGACACAGTATGTTTACAATTATGGAAAAATGTATATCTCATATTAGAATGGAATTCATATTTAATGTAATTTATCCAGTGGAACAGTAGAAACAAGTTTTGCTGTGATTTGTGGAGTTATGGAGTTATTATACATTTGAGTTATATCTTATGAGTTTTTATTGGAAGGCTCAACACCAGGGAAATGAGCAGATTTAAATTAAAACAGAATTTCATTCCATCTGCGTGTGTATCTGTAGAAGAATAGTTCTGGAAAATATGCAGCACATTTATTCATATTTTACTCTTCAGTATGATCTGTGCTCCATTAAACTGGTTCCAAAAATAACTCTAAAACCAAAAAGCTTGGTATGCTTCAGTTCCTTAGCTAAGAGCAGTAGCGTGAGTGTGTGAATGTGTGTGTGCCTGTGCTCACGCATAGGTCAAAGAGACTGCGATGAAACTCAGTGAATGAGTGAACATAGACACAGAACCAGATGTTGCCCACCTTATCCACCCTTTAATTACTCTTCATCACTCTGTCAACCTCCGCTTGCGGTTCCCTGTCTTGGCTGATGATCACACATGAAGGGTGCTGATCCTCTAGTTTGCTGCAAGCCGTTTAAGGCTTAATGCCCATCCTTCTATCAGAGCCAGTCGTTTTGAAATCTATCAGTGATGCCAGTTCAATTAAACAAAGGTTTACAAGATGACACATATCTGCCAAATACATAACCCAGGGCTCAAAGAAGGAGAAAAGAAAAGAAAAGAAAAAAGACAAAATAAAAATGGAATGAATTCAAACTGCTTGCCCTCTCAAAAGAACTTATCACTCCAAGAAAACATGATGTTAAATCCTTGCTGCTATGACAACCAGCGTCAGTGTTGAAAGCTCAAGGGCCTAGACTAGCGCCAACAGTCGATTAGCGTAGCTTAGCATAATGGCTGGAAGCAGGCAGAAACAGTTAGCCTGGCTCTCTCCCAGGGCAAAAAATATGTCCACCAACACCTTAGGACAGAGCTAGTTGTTTTAACTGCTTTCACACTTTAGGTTAAGCTAGGCTAACCACGTCTCTGCTCCAGTTCTAAGATAACGCAGCATGATAAAATTTCTTCTCATCTCCCTTTTTGGAAGAAAGAAAGAAAGTGTTACGCCTATATCCCAAAACTATTCCTTGAAATTTAGGGTTGGTTTAAATTTAAAGTGTGGGTTGACACTTTGTGAGTCAGCCCTTGTAGTTTCCAGCTCAAACTCTGCCCACCAGAGGTTACAACATGTCTTTGGCATAAAACCCTAGTTTGCCACCCTTTCCACTATAACTCTGAGCAACAGTATATTAACATTGGAAATGTCAGTAAGGTGTAATTCTAAACACAAGTCAGATGGCATTAAATCAGTGCACCCAATGTGTTTCTGTCCAAACTGGATCCAGTTCCCAATCAAATCTGAGAAGTGGAACAATTTGTTTAATGATAATTATCCAGGAAAAGCTAAAACAAATACTGAATTAGTTCATGTAAATGTTTCATAGGAAGGAGTAAATATTCTACTTTATCCTTGCTAAAACATAAACAGGTATGGTTGGTATTTGTTTTTTTTGGCCTGAATATGTGGTTGGCACCTGTCAAAGACTTTGTCATATGTTTCAGCATGTTCAGACAAGGTTTATTTTGTACAGTGTTCAGTTATGTAGAGTGTATTTTGTGTTGCTTTGCTTCCTTGGTGATTTTGGAGATGGCTTCTGTCCCACTTTACTTAGTAAAGCTTAATTCTGGAGTAATCTCTTTGGCATCACAATAACAAAAGGGTTGTGTTGAAAAAAACAGAATCTGTTTTGAAATGTAAACCTTCTCCCAAGGGACTAAATGTTTTTCTAAGTTAGTTTTAGCATTTAAGAGTGCAAAGGTTCTTACAATGTTTCAGTCCAGTATTTAAATCATGCAATTATAGCCTTGTTACATCCTGATTTCATCAAAATAAACTCATCACATCCCATGATTAAGACTTTTTGCCTCTGCCAAATTTTGCTTTGGCCCACTGAGCTGACAAAGAAGACCAATGGTTTCGTGCATTAATTACAACTGACTGGTACCAAAATGGAAAAGCATCTGCTTACATTAGCATGCAGCAGCATGATGTTGTTACTTACAGTAGCTTGTGTCCCAGATGTTTCACTGCTTCTAAGTAAGAGTTACAAGTTGAGTGCACAAACAAATATGTAACGTTTAAAAATAATTCATTTATTTGATATATTTTAAATGCACATTGTAAAAGAAACAAGAGGGATCGATCACATTTCCAGCTGTTTTTAAGTCTCTTTCCTCAGCTAGTATAATCTGATCTGAAAAGTGTAAAGTGTACTGGAGAGTTTTGATCTATTGCAGGTTGTTTAGCAGCTGGAACATGAACAAAGACGTCATTTGAGGATTTCTATCTTTCAATGACTTTGGCGGACTCCGAATGTTGCTACTGACATTTTTAAAGGTCCTGTTTAGTTTAAAAGATAAAAGTTACGATTGATTTCAGCTAGATGTTTAAAGGACAGCGTGTGTTGCGGACCATCCTGCTTGGCTTCACTGGTTTCCAGTTCTGAATAGATTGTTCTTTTGCTGTTAAAATAAACACTGTTCCAAGTTCAAAGATCAAAGATATAACACACAGAAAATTGAAGAGAACTCTGAAGAGGCAGTCACATTAATGGAGTGTCAAGAAACAGTTAAACAGAGGGAGGAACATGGATGGAGGTCGGCCATACTTCCTAAAGCGTGCGGAGCGGGACTCTTGGACGATGGATTGACTATTGCTGTACAGTGACTCAGTCCATTGCTAGCCAGGTTTTAGGAAGGGCCTGATTTCGCAGTATATCGGTATCAGTCAGTCTGGTCTAAAGCAGCCTGATAGCATGCCTGTGTGTGTGTGAGCCAGGCCTTTCGACAGGCACACATTTATATCAGTCCAGCAACATGCCAAAGAAAGGTCCCGAGATCTATACCATTTCAAGCCAAGTTTTAGACCGGCCCTAATTTATTTATTCATTCATTTCAGTCAGCCATGAAATAAATGATTGTTTCTAATGGATTCCCACAATTGCAAGCCAGGTTTTAGACAAAAGCAGGCTCCAATCAGATGGTGTGAAGGTGGAGCAGTCCATCAGAAACATTTATGCTGAAGAATTTCACTGATAAAATACTTATACTTAGAAACCCAATTCAACTGTGTTGTTCTCTTGAAAATCTGATGTAACTTAAAGGAATAGTTTTGCTTTCTTTAGTCATGTCCTCACAACAAGTATAAGGCTGCAGCCAGCAGCAGGCTAACTAGCAACAGGGAGAAACAGCCTGACTCAAGTTGCAAAATCTGCCTAAAAGCACCTCTAAAGCCGGAGACACGACAAATCCCTCCAATTCTGTGAAAACCTCAAAATATATTTAAATCTCCTTTAAACTTCTAAGAACATTCACAGGGTTGGTTCCTAAAATACTTTTTTTACACCATGGGTTAATATGAAATACCTTCTGTGAGCCAATAGGCAGTTTGCACTACCATGGAGACTTCTTCAATATTCTCTCAATTTATACTTTTTGTGCTCTTAAACTTACAACATATTAGAGTGGTTTAAGTATTTCCAGGCTGTCCAGTGTCACACCCTTTATACATATAGGAATTTCAATCTGTGATGTTCTGGGATTTATGACAGAAGAGATCAAATCTGCCTCAAACTTTTACTGCTGATATGAAATTCAGGATGTGATGAGCAAAAGAAGAGATCAGGGTTCAGTTTTGAGCCAATGAGGCAGAAACACTCACTCATCCTTTAAACTCAATTTATATCATCTCCCTACTTCTGTTACTATCACTTTATTACTTCCCATTCATACGCTCTCAAAAATCCCTATAGCGACCACAGTGGTCCCTTGACACACACACATGCTCTCCATACGCACTGAACATAATCAGACATATAATGCAAGTCAGAGCCATTTGTTTTCCTCTCTGGTTTCTATTCTCCCTGTTAGCCAAAACATAACCAGTTTCCTACTGGACCAGACAAAGACTTATTGTTTTAGAAAAACCCTCTGGTAGTCTGCACGAAACTACAGTATTATACACGTCATTGTGTAAATACTGAGTCAATCTTGGGCTTTCCTCTTCAGTAGCAATTTCATTTCATTTTTCATTTGATGAAAGCTGTGTGAAAACTATTCCCCACAATTTTTAATTCATGCTTATCTGAGATTTGCCTCTTCTCCTTATTGAATTGGCAGAATGAGAGGACTTTGGGGCTTTCCTAATCAAGCAATCTTGGATCTATACTGTGAGAACTTGAAAATTTCAAATTCTATTTATTTATATGTCTTTTTTTAGGCCCCAGATAATCTTGTTAGGATACTCTGAGGGTCTGGCAGACAGCTTTCTTGTTTGTTATTGCAGCCAAAAGCTTAAATTTATTTCCAGGCACAAAACAGAGGATTGACACCAAAGAGTCCCTTAAGATTGTTAAGTGGTATGATAGCAAAAGGGAGGGAGAGTAACATATCCCAGTAGCAAAAGCATGTAGCCTGTTCTTCTGGCTTTATGGGCAGTATGGTGTGGTAAAAACAGAGACTGTATCAACTGGCTATTGCCATCTTGGCAGTCCTAACTCTGCCGACTCCAAGGTAATCCAAAAATGGGCAAAGATGTGGAGTATGGGTGGAGCTGAGTTGGGCTAAATAAAGCCTGGTTTCTGAAAACCGCCACCTGTGACAGCACCCACCTGTCACTCAAAGCAGCCATGCCCTTAATTATGCATAACTTCAAGCCAAAATTCACACCCCGTATGGTTGTCATGAACGGGACAATTTAGCTATAAGGCCCGAAACAGTTTTTTTGTTTAAGACTGTAAACTCAGTGAATTTGGGTATTTTAATATGGGGCATTATAAAGTTAGACTCATTTCTGTTTCCAGCCGTTTGAGAAACTGCAGTTCCTGTTACTTTCGTGTTGGCTTCATTTGCCAGTCATTCAGGTTGTTGCTTTGGCACATTTGACAAAAAACATGATTTTTTAAAATGTATTTTAAAGTTGGTTTTAGCTGTAGAGTTTTTGAGGTACGTAGATCTTTATTCCAAAACAGTGGAGGTGAAAGGTCACTATGAAGTAATTTTTTCTGAAAGTAAATTAAGTTTATTGAGCACCACAAATATCAGAGACATATTATCTAAAAACCTGGACATATAAAATCTAAATGATCTGCTTGGCTAGATACCACTAGAGGTAAGCTAGAAAATATGTTTATTTGTAATTTGGGTGAACCATCTTTTTACAGTATATAACTGGAATGATAAATGTGTCTTGTCATATCTCAATCAAGGTTTCAGCTTTACAAGCCAAAAGTGAACTCCCAAAGTCTTTGGCTCTTTATTCCAAAGCCTTTGTTTCATCACATGTAGAAGATCTGTTCCGCTCAATTTGCCTCTAATTGCTCGAAAGTTACATTTGCAGGGAAAATAATTCAAATTTAACGACACATGCAATGAATATTATGTTTTGATTGCATTAACAGTCACATAAAGCCTGTGAGTTGAAAAAAGCAATTACATTTTGTAATATGGCTGAATAAGGTGTTTTTTTGCATTTATTAAAGTTATGAGGTCATTAATCATCGCACTCATATTTCTTCTTTCTTCTGTTTCTCCATCTTTCTTTTCCTTCGTAGATCTACTGGCCGCCGTTACCTGGCAACAGGGAGGACTGCATTAAAACGGGGAAGGAACCACAGGTAAGCAACTAACAGCTCATTCCTGCTAAGTTTTGCAACTCTCAGAGACCTGCCCTAGGCTTAATTCCTCCTATTTAGATTTGTGTCCACTTCTGTCTTCCCATTCATTTTGTTTGCACTCTTGCTGTTTGTAAAACTTGCTTTGTATTCAGTCGAAATAAACCCAGAGAAACACTCACTGTGTGTCTCTTCTGGACCTTTCCATACCTTGCTTCACCTGAACGCTGTCCTCAAGTTTCTTCAGAGATGGCATATACAGTAGAGGCCAGTTTAATTTCAGATTGTCAACTGTATGTTACTTTGCTGCTGTTGACATCAAGACGTTTCCTGCCTGTAACCAGCTCTCTTGCCAATGTCCTGTCTGTTTGCTGACTTTTGAATTTGTTTGCCTGCCCTGTCTTCTAAGCCTTTCATTCTACCAGCTGAGCCTTCGTGTCTGCAGTTGGATATTCATTCCTGTTTCCAGTAACTCTGACAGTATAACATGGTCAAAAATGAACCCAACTGACCCTGCTTTTTCCATAAATGAGGTGGCTGTGACCTATGCAGTTGAGCAGCTCTATACTTTATGCCAAAAAGGTTCCAGTGAAGAACAGAGAAACAGCTCCCAGCAAGGCAGTTATGTCCTCCAAACCCTGGCTTGTCAAGTTGGTGTTTGGGCTTCCAGAGACTTTTGAGTGCCAGCTGAATCCAGTAGTCACATCAGTCTCAACTCTATTCTTCCTTTGGTGGTTCTCCTGTATCTTCCAGTTCTAATTTATTGAAAGACATTTGAGACCCAGGATACAAAATATTTATGCACTTGCAGCACTATAAGGCCCCCTTTTTAACAGCAGTCCCCAAATGGCACATGTTGTAATGGGAAGCAGTATAGCAGACTAAGTGTACAGTAAATGGCATAGTCAGACAGTTTAGTACCTGCTGTGTTTTGCTGATACCTCAGTTTCCTACCCTGCAGCAACTGGTACCCTCTGTTCCCCCACCTCAAAAGATAATGTACACTAAACTTATAGACTATTTAAGGACTCGCACAGTCAAGATAATTTAATAACCATAATGAACTTATAAAATTGCCATGAATAAGGCCATTCTTCCTTAATGAAGATAAAGGACCGAGACGGAGAGATGCATGGAAAGAGAAACTTTTATGGTCCCTGTGAAGGAGGAAAGATAGGCAGGACTGTATCGCTTAATGAGTGCTCCAAATACAGAGGGAGGAAGGAAGAGATGGAATTAATGAAAATAGAAGGACATAGGGAGGAAAATGTAGGAGGGTTACATACAGGATGAGAGGGGAAGATGAGAGAAGAGGAAAAACAAAAAGGGAGGACAGTGTTCATCTAATTATAACCATGTTTACAACACGAGAAAAGAGAAGAGGGGGAATCTGAAGCAGTCACTGTGATGAAAAGGAACCAGTGCCCAGGAATGTGTCAGCACCTTGAGTTGTTTACCTCCTCAGAAGCTGACTCAGCTTTCTGTTGTTAGCCTGGAGGAGGTTGAAGAAGCAACTCCACATCAGATGAAAGAGAAAGAAGTAGACTGTAAGAGGAGGATAAAAGAGAAGATGACGAAGATAATGATGAACACAAACAGGAAGGAAAGATGTGATGAATTAAAAAAGGTCTGCAGTAGTGAGTTATAGCCATGCGAGTGGTGAAGCTGGGTTGCCAATGTCAGTCTGTTGATTGGTCCACCACTTTTAAATTGACATATCTCAACTACTGCATGGATTGCCATGAAATCTTGTACAGACATTCATGGACCTCTGGGGATGAACCCTATTTGTAATAAGTTTTGTGATCCCTAAACCTTTCATGTTCTATTATTATCAGATCAAATTTTTACTTAGTTCGTAACCAAATACAAAACTAATCACATTTCTATACCTCAGCTGTACTTGCTAGAAGACATTCTGTTCTGCAATATCGTTTCTTTGATGTACTGAGACATGGGGAAGAAGCTCTCAGTGGCTTTAGTGGTGCTCAGAATACATAAACAGGCACTAATTACTGGTTTATACACATACACACAAAATGAAGACCCAGTTGTAAGAGTTGTAAAAAGTATGAAGTTTTTGCCTTTTTTTGCTCATGGAGAAAAGTCTGACAGCCACCTCCATCTGGAATGGTTTAGAAGGTGTGTGTGTGGCTGTATGTATATGTTCTCTGTGTTTGAAGTGGCAGGTGTGTCTTGGGTGTCTTATATCAGTTTTATTAGGTGTTTCCTCTGCACGTTGCTCACAAGGCTCATACAGCGCTAGGTGTGTGTGTGTGTGTGTGTGTGTATGTGTGTGCTACTGTACTGTCCATAGTGGAGAAGAGGAGTCACAATGGATTATTGGACAGGTCTTAAAAACAGAATGTGTGTAACTCTACCTACTTGTGCCAAAGGAGTCATAAAGAACGTGTGTGTGTGTGTGTGTGTGTGTGTGTGTGTGTGTGTGTGTGTGTGTGTGTGTGTGTGGTGTGTTTGAGATTTGGTGAGTAACAGATAGAGATGTTTCCCTGCTTATGTTAAACTACACAGATATCTTTCTGCATTCCTTCACGTTTCTCTGTTTCTGAGTTTTTCAGTGTCAGATTAGATGGATTACTGCTGTATCCCGTGGCATCTGCAAAGCAAAAGACACCCACAGACACACAAACACGCTCACACACATTCAATCTTATATGTTTGCTGACAGCATCTGTTAAACATAACTGTGTTTGACAAAAAGTTGAAGAGGTTGAAAGGTGAAAGGTCTTCAAATTGTTTTCTGGACACACTTTTGTGTGTGTTTGGTGATAGAGAGAAAGACGTATAACAATAATACATTTGAGACAGAGACAAAAAGAGAGAGAGAGAGTTCCAGGCAAATTAAGGAAAGATGGTGAAATCAAAGATGCTAGCTGTAATAAATCCAGGTTTAATAATTCAAGAGAATATCTAAAAAAAACTATAACTGTAATTTACTGTGAAAAATAGATAAAGAAAGGAGATGTCGTTTTTTTATCTCTGTAATGAAAGCCTGTCTCCACAGTCTTCTACTGACAAGTGTCTACTACCCTAAACATGTTTTTACTGATAGTGTTTCCTCCCAGAGTCACAACCTCATGACCTCCACCATCATTAATTACAGCTCAGACAAATAAATAACAGGCTGAGGGGAGGCACTCGGTGAATTCAGCCAAGCATGCAATGTCTTGCTCTGGCTGTTTAAAATTTTTTCTGCTTCCTCTATCTGCATCTTCTGCTTACTTCCTCCATCTCCAGTGGGTTCAACTTTTGCATGTTGAGCGCGAATGAAACTTTCTGAGAACACAGGGAACAGAGATAGCAAGTCGGACGTTGAGTGTGTGGATTATTAAGCTTTGAGAAAAAGAGTCAGACATTGTGTATGCAAGTCAGGATTCTGTACAACTCTATGTGAACTCAATCGATTTGTACGCTCAGTTCTGAGCTTTGTTCTTTCACGACAAGCTTGATAGAGTCAGTAATCTTCCCCCATGGTTTGTCTTTATTAGTAGAGCTGTGATCAGCTCCACTTTGTATGAATGTAGTCCCATTTTCTAAGTGTAGGAAGACTTTGCTGTACAGTGTGCTACCCTCTACGTTCTAAGGGTAGTTTTAGTTGCCTAAACCTATCCACAATTCAACTTTAAAAGGCTGAGATTAATCTCAGACTGTTGCTGTTCTGTCGTTTAGGTATTTGGACTCTTTGAAAAGTAATACCACAGGTAAATAGACTGGAAACAAAGTAATCGAGGTGTGATTTAGAGAGAGGGCAGGAGTGGAAGCATGATATATAGTATATAAGTCACAAAAATAGAAGTTGATCATCTCTCCAAAATCGTCCAAATAAATTTGAAAACATACACTTTCTACGTAAGAAGGGTACATAAATATAACTATTCCTGGGTCTTTAATGGGACTAAAATATGACCAGTGTATTGATGCAGTCTCATTCTCCATATTGACCTGTGCATTAGTAAATCGTGTTTCAAGTTAAAGAAACTGTAAATCTCTTAAGTCTGTAAGTACAACTGTTTAAATTGTAGTATAATGCAGGACTAAACAGTAAAACATGTGGGCTCCAGATTTTGGACGATACAGCAGCTTCCCTTTATGACTCGTTATAGTTTTTTGTTTAATATTAATGAGAAAAAGATGCTGCAGAGGCCAGCGACACAAGTGTGGTCTGTCTCTGCCCATCTGCAACTCTTTTCGTTGCCAATATGTTGGTAAATGTTGGTTGCAGCTTTTGTGCCTGCCAGGAAGTCAAGTAGGTGATTGTGGTTTTCTATCCTAAAATGAATATTTGATTTTGCAATGTGGGAGTAGCTGGTAGATATTTCGGAAAAATCATCTCACGCACTTTGGCGAGAATCTCTTGCCGTGACTGAATGTTTTCAGTGCAGTCTGGAAATCAATCAAGAGTACAGAGAAAACTGGTGTCTTTGAGGATCAAATAGCTGCTGAGACCAAAGACTTAGAGAAGGCAGTTCATCCAGCTGTCCGGCTTTGAACTGCTTTTATGATGTTTGTGTGTGTCTGTGATTGTGTTTGTGTATGAGGTCCTGTTCACTGTAGTCTTGTACATGTGCATATCTGTGTGTGTTTGTGTGTGTACATGAATGTGTTGGTCCTCATATCCTGTTAGTATTACAGAATCTGACTTCTCTCCACTGAACATTGGCTGTTTATACTGGAAACTGCTCTCCATGTCCAAACTTGCCTCGCCCAGCCTGGGTCAGCTCCATGTTAGCTCTACCACTGTGCCCCATGGACATTGCTAATAAACTGTCTATGACCACAAAAGTGAATTCCTATCAAGTAAAATTCTCCAAGCAGCAGCTCATTGTTGGCCCAAACTTCCTTGATTCCCCTTCAGTGTTTGATACACGCTATGCAAATTAAAGCTTAATTGAGCATAAGGATAATGCTAGATGGTGGATGACGCTGATTCTAGGCATGCAGAGCAAAATCGTTTTTTCAGAATTAAAACTAAAAATACATTGGCATTTAGCTAAATGTAAAAGAGTCGATATACTTTGCTGGTTAGTTGGTGAATTGTTTCTGCCTCTTTTCCTCTGGGTCCCAGGAATTGATTGATACACATTTTAATAAACCCCTACAAAAATTCCATCATATGCATTCATCACTGACCAAAGAGGTTGAAAGTTCAGAGCTTTCAGCCTGCCCTGGACAAACTTGGAGAAGAAATAGTATGAGACACATTTTCCTGGTCCTTGAGCAAATTTCTTGAATGCATCTTTGTGTAGCATATTTAAACATTAATGTATCATCGCCACATTGTGGAGCTGTGTTATACTTACTGTAAACAAATCAGACCATGATTAAAATGATTTGTAGCCCATGGTACTCTTACTGCTCATATTTCTCAAAATAAAGACCACATTGTGCCATTAACCCTATTTCTTTTTGTCATGAAGAAGACATTTGTCTCACTCTTGATCTCTGGAGTCACCTTCTCTGCTTTTTCAGCGCAGGTTTTTCTCTTTCAATTGACTGAAAAACATACGACGTCTGTAGACCTGTTATCCAAGTAGTTACATTTCAAATAACTTGTAATTAATCCACTGGATTGGATATTGTTCCTCAACCAGCAGTACTGTACTGTTTTTGGACATGTGGAAGTGATTTTGCTGTTTCACACCTTAAACTGCTATTGAATTTGAAATTAAATTTTTGTTTAGAAGCATAGAACCATGCTACAAAATCCCCTAACACCATGGGAAATCAGTCTTAGTATTGCATATTGTAAAGACCAGGTCAGGCTACTAGAGGTCTTGGCAATGTTCTTATTTGTTTATGTTAATTAATTATATGTTTCAGAGCCAATGTAGTAATAATTGGATGTTTAAAATGCTAAACATACCTTTTTTAACCCCCAAGGCACAAAACTGTGGTTTTCGTGGGCAGTTTCAAAGTTTAAACTGTGTGACTGAGCAGCTTGTTATTGCTGAGAAAGAGAATTTGTGGTCAGTCATACTCCCCTTGATAATCCAAAGGTTAATAAATTAACAATGCAAGCTTTTGTTTCCACAAAATAGCCCTGACCTTTGCTGTTTATGCAGTGATTAAATGTCTCAATTTTCAATCCTTGCTAGATGTTAAGACAACTCCCTGAAATCTCCCAGTGAGAAGGACCAGATTTAGTAATCAAACTACTTCATTTTCTGTTTAACACCACTCCCTTTATTACCACTTAATCTCCGAGAGACCACACAGATATGTAAAACCCCAAATCACAGGGTGGGAGAGCAGAAACATATTTCCCCTTTTCAACATTTCATTCCACTCTTTGCTCTCCTCGGCCGCAGAGATCTCTAGCGTAACTCCCTGAGTAGTAGAAAAGAAACATAGGAGAGACAGATTTCTATTCATTCTTAGTCCACTTGGTAGGCTCTCCTAGACCTCATATATCTAAGTCCAGCATTTACATTTTTCCCCTCCAGGAGATGATTCAACTAGGCTGGATATAAATTTTACACTGGTTTGTCACACACACAATGTATGAAACCCAGATGCTCCTTTCTTTGTATAGATTCAATAATTTAAAAAATCTAAAATTTAGATTGATTGAAAGCTTTCTTAATACAAATGTGTTTTTGTGTAGTTTATTACCGGTCTGGTTTTGTTTGGGTAGAGACATGAGGCAGCAGTGAAGGGCAATATCATGATGTAAACTATGTCTCGTACTGCAGTGACATGGTTTACATCAGGTCTGCAGCGCCTCAAAGCACTCAGAGGAAATGGTCCATGTTAGAGTGTCTGACTCTGACTTTGAGAGGGACGCCGGCCACACATAAACCCAAAATGACAGATTTATTACACTAATTTGTTGCACACAACACATACACTTTTAAAAACACAAAAAGACAAGCACGCATGCAAACATCAAAGTCAGGAAACGACACACACACACACACGCTTAAACGGTAAAGAAACGTGCACCAATACGCTTGGCTTACATTCAACTCATCTCACTCGATATTTAGATATAAATACACAGTGCAGACAGACTTTTTATACTGAGACACACCAGACGCCTGTTAGGCACCTATGAGTTTGACCTTGCTAACTTGAGACAATGACACCTGGTCTGTCCTTCTCAGCTGACACCCGCTTTGTCAGCTGCTGTTGTTACAGACAGGAAGAAGGAAGTATTCGTGCCCTCCGCTTCCTCTGGACCTCTGTGTAGTACAGAAACTTCTTAGTGCTCATTTCCTCAGGCAACCCTTCTTTTGTCCTTACTCTTATGTGTGTCTGTGCCTGGCCTTCTAACATTGTCCACTTGAATTCTTCTCTTTGTCTTTATTTCTATCTCTGCTGATATGAAGTCAAATGCCTAATTAAGTATTAATAGTTTGTTTCTGTCTTTCTTTCTTTTTAAAAGCTCAAAGTTCATTTCAAAGTTATTGTTGGTGTCTTCATATTCCTTATCACTCAAAACTAACATTTCACATCATCATATTTTATTTTTTGGCACCCAGGCATTTCTCATGTTTTACAAATCTTGACAAAGTTCCTTTGACCCGAATGTGATGAAACTTGTTCTTAAACATCAGCATGTAACTTTTGTCAAAAATCCAAAACTCCAAGATACGAGTCCTATGTGGGACACTGAAGCTATCACATTTCATTGAATAAAGCTCTTTTCCTCTTGGCCCTCATTACAAACATGTGGGATCAATAAGCCTTGTTAAGAAGTCAATTTGGTTCTCTTTAATACTCTGAAAATCATCTTATCTGCCTTTGGATGACAATTACTGTTGGACTGTGTTATATGATTATTTAAGGGCCCTTAAGGGTTTGTGTGTGTGTGTGTGTGTGCGTGTGTGTGTGTGTGTGTGTGTGTGTGTGTGTGTGTGTGTGTGTGTGTGTGTGTGTGTGTGTGTGTACAGTATGGTATTTGTGTGTAACGTGTGCAACAACTTAAATTTACACATCCTGTACCTGGGTAAACCCAGGTATCCTGCTTTACCATGAAAATTTAATAAACAGCACTTTTATTTTTTTAAATCTTTCTGTGAAATGGAAAGTTATACATGGTACTTTATCTTTGTTCACAAAATAGTACAGGGACACCATAAGGTCACCCTGGTAGTCTTGAACTTCAAATAGACATAGCAAAACATTTGATACAACATATATTATACTATACCTCTTAACATATTTCTTTGAGATATAAGGTATTAATCTGTGTGTATGTATCTGTGTTTTGCAGACGGAGTGTGCCAACTTTGTTCGCCTCCTGCAGCCCTACAACCGTACCCACCTCCTGGCCTGTGGCACCGGGGCCTTCCAGCCCATGTGTGCATTCATCAATGTGGGGCACAGAGGAGAGGTAAGCTGGGTGTAGCGTGGGGGGTCTGTGGTGGCCTACAAAGTGTTTTGGAAAGTCTCAGCACATCAGTCATACACAAAAACATAAGCATACCACTGACAGACAAAAACACATATACACCCACAAAGACAAACACATAACTCCTTTGTGTGGGCAACTATATGCACAAAGTAACAATTATTTGGTGTTTTTGAGGAAAACTCTGTTATATATATTGCTGTCACAGATGTGTAGGACACATATTTTACTCTATGCTTACTAGATGTTGTTTCCATTTCCTAAAGGAAAAGTTTGGAAACTGTAAATTACATTTGCTTTTTATGTACTGTGTAGCCATTACAAAGGCTGGACTGGACTATAAGTTTTCCTCCTGAGGCCCAGTATGAACTTCTCCAGTGGTATTATTCTAGTTTATCAGTCATGAACTTCCATTTGGCAACAATAAATATAAATTTCAGCTGACAGTGTGATATAAAAGATAGTAAGAAATAATGCTGGACAATTTGTGAACAAATGCGGGTTGATACAGACACTGATTTATTCATTAAACTGAAGCGATGGTTAATGAAGCTATTTCTGACCACTAGGGGGAAGAATAACTCAGAAATTATCTTTCAGAAATATAGTACTGCTATACTACTGGCAAATGTTAACAAACAGCTGCTTACTTACACATCCAGGAGATGGGGGAACACTCAATCAGAGATGTTCACAAGTCTTTTTTTGCAAGTCCAAGTTAAGTCTGAAGTCTTTGGTCACGAGTCCAAGTCAAGTCTCAAGTCTCTAAAAAATAAAAGTCATATGTCTCTTCTGGTTGTAATGAGCCTTCTGTCATCTGCTGCTATCCGGTCTACTAAGAAAAATGCACAGCTATATCTAAGAAATTCAAAGCATTTACTGTATTATTATCACTCCTTTATCTATTAGCATACAGTATCAGTACTGATTAGTTGATGAGATCCTGTATTATGGATTCAGTAATGGCCTTCTGCCTGGGATGGCCCTGGCTGTATATCTGCACACCTGGTTTTGTTAAGAAAGAGTCAAGGCTGCTCTGTCCCTCTGCACTGCCACTGGCCACTTTTTTTGCTCTGTTGAATTCAGAAAACCTGTAGATGAACAACATGGAAAATTAGGCTGTTAATTATAGTAATAAGATCTGGATGATATAGCTAACATTTTTATGTGTAGCAAAACACATCTGGAACCACATGTTGAAAAACTGGATCTAAACTAATGTTGCAGGCTATATATCAATCTTTTATTTCTGATTATAGAGAGGGTTGCTAAAAAAAGATATAGACTAACTCAGGGTAACAGGAAAATATTGCTATTTCCTCAGGCCATTAGACTCTTGAACCAGAACTCAACTTGACCATTCCCCAAACCACCAGGACTCAGCCTGACACACACACATACACACATCCTTGCACATATTTTCATTTCTGATTACATTATTTAGATTATATTTAATTACATTATTTACATCATATTAGTTTGATTTTATTCATATTTATCTTATTTATTCTATTTATAAGGCCAGTTTAGGAGTAACTAGGAGACATTTCACTGCATGTTACTCTGGGACTTCTGTATGTGACAAATAAAGTAATCTTGTAATCTTGTTATCTTGTAAATCTAACATTAGTATTCATGCAATAATAACTAATCATCCAAGGTTTGCACTCTGGAACCGTATTGTTTAATTACACTGGGTCTCTAATGACACATTCCTCTATCCTCTCACTCAAACTCAGTGTAATGGTAACCTGGTAAACCTGTAACATTAACGTTACATGGTCAACAATTAACCTGTAACCTGCCTGTAAGCCGACAGTATAACTATGTATTTTTCTACGGTTAACATTAGCCAGTAGATGGTGGCAACGTAGATGATTAAGGTTACCCGACCTTTTTCTTCTTTTTAAGTCATGTCAACGCCACTCAATGCAAACAAGTGCGACAAGCAAACTCAGTTACAAAGCTAGTAGCAAGCTAAGTGAATGTTACATAGCTGATGCTGAGCTAACCGTCCATATGCACTAATGTGACTGACCTATCTGGGTGAGTTTTCAGGCGCCTGATAAAATTTGATGTGGTGGATCCAGCATCCTTGATTCGGGTACTGCAGACTTTGCAGTCAGCGCTCCTTTTGTTGGTGCCGTCCTGTTTGAAGTTTTTATAACCAAATGTAATCACAAATGGTACAGCAGCAGCTGCGTGCCGCTGGTCGCCATAGTCGTCATCCGAGGTACTAGTGCATGAGGCCACGAGGCGCGCACCCAATGCGTAATATGGTTACCATGGTTACCATGGTTACCATGAAAAAAAGGAAGGAATCACATTAAGCTCGTCAGACGTTTCAGAGTTTCCTCAATATTAATATGCCAAAAAAGAAAACACAATCCGAGTCCGAGTCGAGTCTGAAGTCTTTTGAGCACGAGTCCAAGTCAAGTCTGAAGTCTCTGTGTGTGCGACTTAAGTGCGCCTCGAGTCCGAGTCGCAAACTCAAGTCCCCATCTATGACATTCATGTCGAGAAAGTAAATCAAATATTCACTTTCATTTTAGCTCTGGTTTGGCGTCCACTGACTCTTTAGCTGAGAAAAGCTAAACGCTTCCCTATGTTCACCAGCAAGTTGTTCACTTTGTCTTTCTGCCTTTCAGTGTTGGATAAATAAGGTGCACAGTTAGCTTGCGTTTGTAGGAAACAGCTGCCTGCATGGATTTATGGTGTATTGGGGGATTGGTGAAAGCTGGGAGACTGAACTACACAGCAAAATGCAGTCCAGAAAACACACATTTATTTTAATCTTTTATGTGAAAAAGAGAAAGAAGCTTTGCAAATGCATGATCTTCAGGGCTGGACTGCCACCACAAACATTTGTGGTCCAGATTACTTTTAGTTGTAGGTTTAAATCAAATATATATTGCTTAGTGATGTTTGAAGTGTTACTGTAACACCAGATAAACTGATACTAAGTAAATGAATGCAGACTAGTAAGTATTAACTCAGTTGATGTTTAGTTAATCCAAAGTTGATAAAAGTCTGTATAAAGTAACAAAGGAATGTTACAAGGAATGGTTGGTAACTGGTTAAAAGTATGAAGAATAACAAAATGTTATTACTACAATAGAGACAGGATCCCACTGTACTGAACATATGAGATGATAAGGAATCAATGGGTGGCCTACATGCAGGCCAGTGGAGGAAACAGGGTAATGGAATGAAAATGGTTGGTGCCAAGATGTTTTTTAGAAAAACACAGCTCCAACTGGATCCCGGGGGCTCAAGGTTAAGCCTCAGCAGGCAGCTCTGCCATGAGTCTTTCTGTAGGGCTACTCAGCTGCAGCGTTGGGCCCTCTATACATCTTTTCAACCGCACAGGCTGGCTCTCTACACAGCCACTCAGCTCAGTGGGACCCTCTGCAGAGTCCCGCACTTGGAGCCATTTGAAAGACAAGAATCAATGAATGGAGCTATTAAGACAGACTCGTAGTTTGCTGTTTCACGGCAGATGGCAACCAAGTGTGAAGTCCTGCCTTTCCCAGCAGGAGGGGGTCAAACTGGGCATGAGGAGTAACGAAAGCTGGATATTGGCAAAGAGCTAAGGAAGGGAAGGAGACAGGGGGGTGGGAGAGTGCCAACCTTTTATTGGGAAGTCTGTGTGCTGGAATATGTGTACATATAAAGCACAGAAGGTGCGTTTAAGAATTTTTTTTTCTTGTGGATTTAGGTGCTCGTCACAATGTGTGTGTTTTCCTTGATGCCGTTTTCTGCCTCCCACTCAATCTGTCAACCTCAGTGTGGATTTTGGACTCTGGGTTTTATTGCACATCATGAAAAACAGCAAACGTCCTCCTCTGCTCGTGCTGAACAACTTTGAGCCTAGTAACAGAATATAGTGGTTTGCGTGGTTGAGAACAATGAAAGCAAAAACTAAACATGATGGGTGGTACTGAGCAGTTATAAAAAGTAGGTCACCTGTTTGAATCCTCTGATCTGCTGAGAACACAGTTGCTGTCCAGGAACTTTTTAGCAGACCCCTTGAACTAATCAATTGCTGGCAAACAGTCAAGCCCTGTGTGTATTTGTGCTGTTTTGCACTGATTCAGACTAATATAAAATGAGGCATAGTTTTGGAAGTTCAAGTGTTAAATAGTAATGGTTTAACCCTTTAACTTGATGTTTGTGGTGCATTTCATTCACAGATGTCTGCAGGTACAAGAGGAAAAGACTAGAATGACGTGTGCAGTTTAAAGTTTTAGCCGTGAGTTAAAGTATGTAATAACTTAAGATTATGACTGGTTTATCATGGTGGAGGTATTTGGTATTGACATTGCTGCATAGAGAAGTGCTTATGATAGAGACATGTATGCATGCATGCCCAGGTGTGTATGAAATGACTTCCAGGTTGTGTCAGCTGTATGAGTGTTAAAACCACCTCAGCTGTCTTGACTGACTGATGTTAAGATAGCAGTTGTCCTCCTGCTTGAGTGTGTACGTGTACTGTGTGTGTGTGTGTGTGTGTGTGTGTGTGTGTGTGTGTGTGTGTGTGTGTGTGTGTGTGTGTGTGTGTGTGTGTGTGTGTGTGTGTGTGTGTCCCACCATCACTCACACCACAAGCACATCCTTTCAGCTTGTCAGAGTGTCTGTCTAAATGGCGGCACCACAGGGAGTCTGTTCATTTATTTAACCAATCGTTAACTGGTGGAGAACACACACCCGTCTTGTTTGTCTGACCTCTTGAGAGGACCGGGCCGAGAGCCCCCGGACTCGACTCTGGGTGGGATGATCTTTGACCCTCTAGGTGTTTCATCTCAGTGAGGGGCAGACATACACATACTCTTTCTATCTCTCTCAAGCCACCTTTCTCTCTCCGTCTCGGTCTTGTGGTTCCGTCTGTCACACAGATTTTACTCAAAACGTATGAATGTAGCAAGAAATACAAGGGGAATAGGCTCATTTTGCATCAGCTGTGGTGAAGTGAAGAAATAGGCTCTCTTACTGCCAAACAATGTTTTGAAAATGTATTAGCATTGGACAAGCTGTTATTGTTCTGTGCTGCCAGCTAATCATCGCTATATTTCATGTTTTCATCGAAAGATGAAAACAAAGAAATGCATTTAGCAATATTCTAGTACACCAACCAATTGATGTAAACTTATGACCTAAGGGGCGTCATTAGTTGTCTGCAACAGTATAGTTTCTCAGAGAGCATCATCTCATCTACTTTATGGTTTATGGTGGTCATAGTTTATTTAACAAACGTGTCGCCATTTCTTTGTCATCAAAAACGGTTTTATATTTGAGAAAACAATCATCTTGAATCCTAAAACATATGAACCTCTGATCTGTGCTTTAAAACTGTGTGTTTCTGCCTCACCCCTTTCTCTCTCTCTCTCTCTCTCTCTCTCTCTCTCTCTCTCTCTCTCTCTCTCTCTCACACACACACACACACACACACACACACAAACTGAAGTCCTCATGGTGACTGACAGAGCTGCCTGAGCAGTGTCATAATAAACCACCATATTAGGTAACGACATACAGGGGACCACACACACACACACACACACACACACACACACACACACACACACACACACACACACACACACACACACACACACACACACACAATCAAACAAAACAAATGACACAAACTTGAACATATAAATATGCAGAGAAACACACACAAACATGATGAAAGACATGCACATTCAAACATATATGTATAAATATATAGAAACAAATGTGTAGAAAGACACACACACACACACATTGGGAAGCAGACATTTATAGGCACCCAATAACAACTGACCTCAGTAGAACCATATTGTAGACTAAAGCAGTTCGGATGCTCCATTTTTCAGTCAAAGTCCATTTTTACTTCAGTGTTCTGCTTTTTGGCACTTAGAAAGAAACTTACTGAGTAGCTCACTTGCTCTCACTACGATGGCAGACTTCCATGACAACCTTTGTAAGTGCTACATATGGGACAGTCCAGTGGGGAAAAAGCTCCTCAGCAGGGCCAGTAGCATTAATGTGGATAAAAAATGAACCAAAAAGATTGAAAGCATAATAAAAAATGAATTACTTGTAAATCACTCTTTCATTTTTCCCACGCATGTTGCCTTTGGATCAAAGCCCTACAAACTGTAGAAGATTTTTTTGTTGTCATTTTTTCTCCATTTCTAGTTTTCTTACTTGGCAATTTATATCTGTAATTATTACCATAACTCTTAATCAGCCCTGGTCCTGTCTCGCTCCGGAATGAAAAGCAAAGAAAGCTTGAGCTTCCCATGCTGTCACCAGAGTGAGAACTGAGTGGTGAGAGAGGGAGCCCATCCATTATTTCACTGGACAGTGAGGAAAAGGCCAAGCACAACAGCATTTCAAATGAGGTCTGTTGGTTGGCCAAGTTGCCTTTAAGATGCTTGAAGTGAGTCCAAACTGTAGAGGTTTAGATATTTAACATTTTTTAAAATCAGACTACTAGAATTTAATGGCATCCCCCAAAGAAGACCTGCTCCCTCTGTAGATAAAAGCAGCTCATTCTAAGGCAATGAAAACACAACGATTCCTATATTTAGGTGAATATACACTAATGAAAGCATACCAATGAATATTACATTCCATTTCTGTCAGTAGACCCTCCAAAATGTTACACGAGAGACCTTTAATGTGTAGCTAACTTTTATCCAGTGAACTACAAACCATGGACAGCTAAAAATTGCCAATTTGTGAACTCATAGATAAAGGCCTGGATTTTATTGCTAATTAATTCCAACTTTTCACATATAAAATTGGAAAAATGGTCTATTCCTTTTTTTTATTTACATAGTCTCTCTTTAAGGCAGCAGATTTAGGTTCGAGATTGTTAAATGATACATATGTATATGTATGTGTGTCAGTAGTCACTTGTCTCAATGGTTTTGTAGCAGGGATCTGGATGTATTTTGTTTGGCACAGCTGAGTACAAAGTGGCCTGGATGTCTCTCTCTTTCTGCATCGCAGCACTTGTGTGTATTTGTCTTGGCAGAGTTTGGCCAAAGTGACTCTGACAGTCTAATCAGCTGCATAGGAAGCCACACCATTCCTCTGGATCATAATGAGATAACACAGACACACACACACACACACACACACACACACACACACATATGCATACACACACACACACACACACACACACACACACACACACACACTCACACAACCACTGTCTCTTGCACATTTAAATGCAGTGAAAAATTGGGCACAGAAGTGCACAGACACATACAGACACTCACAGTGTGTAAAAACACCCAGATCACACACACACACACACGGGGCAGAGATGCAATGACGTTTATGTCAGAAACAAGACAGCGAAGAGGTGCTGAAAGAATAAGGATGACTAATGAGTGAGCTGAAAGTCCTCGGCAGAGAAAGAGATGGAGAGCAGAAAACAGATGGCAACAAGAGCAGAAATTCAAGATTCAAGAAAACGAAAGGGATGAGATAAATGGAAGAAATTAGTGTAAAGGTTCAATGACATAAAAAAAACACTACACATTTACAATATGATATATGTCAATCCTAATAGAAATTTTCAATGTTCAGTATCTCTATGATATAAGGAAGTATGAAACCACCATTTTCTGCTGTTAGTAACACACTTTTCTTCAAATGGTGGGTTTGCAATTTTGGAACAAAAAAAGTACACGTGGCAGAACTTTACAAGCGTAACCTAAAATAGTCATATCGTGCCTAGACTCCTGTGAAAATTATGAAGGAAATCCTCATTAATATACAGGACTGGAAGAATGTAGAGCAAGACAAGATTCAGAGTACTTTTTGAATATCCATCATTTCAAATTTAATGAAGTGTGAGCATGTGCGTGCTGGTGGGCTGCGCATGTTCACTTTGACACCTGTAAAACTAATTCAAACCTCTATATGAGCATTCAAAAGGCTACATGTAGATCAAATAAGAAATTAACTGTCTCTCCTTATTTCCTGAGACCTGTTGGACATGCCAGTGTATATATAATCTTTGTGTGTTTCTGACAGTAGCAATTTGCTGTGTCCATGTTACTCAGCACGTATTATTGCACGAGTGAGTATGTGCTGGTGCACGTACAAAACTTAATGCGTGTGGTTGTGCATATTGTCCACTGTGTTTCTTACAGTATTTTTATCCCGCTGACTTCAATGTCATCATCTCCCCTGTGATCTCCGTTCAGTCGAAGACTCACCCTCCCAGTAACAATACTCCATTGTCTATTAGAGGAACAGAGACTCATGCACACTGAGTTCACTGTAAGGACATTTAAATCAGTAAAATGGGCTTGAATCAAACACGAGGTCTTACTGTTGGTCCTGTCGCCTTACATTCCCTTTTTATCCTGGAAAGTCGCATTGATCTCACCCAGGCTGCTCTGGCAGAGACAGCCTGGTACACTCATGTCGTTGAAGTGGGAGTAGAGAGTCTAAAAACAAAAGGCCTTTTGTCCACAGTGACCCTGTCATGACCTGACAAATCACACAATCCAAGGATGTGGCCAGTGTTCGTCAGGTGAACTTGACTAACTGGTGAATGACGAAGAAAGAACCAGTCTGGTAATTTAATTGCTTCCTTACTTCTTCACTGCCGGAGTAAAAAAAAGGATTTAATGCAGTTTGATGTAAAAGGGCGATCCATGAAAGATTTATTTTCCTTTTTGGAGGCATTTTCAGGCTAAAAGTACACGATTTTTTTTTTTGGGGGGGGGGTTCTTAATTTTTTTGGTGACTTTCCTTCTGGCACTTTTTTATTACTTGAATTTTCTGTTCAACGTGAAAAGCTGAAAAGTTCATTTTCCAAACTGTCTATTGTTGCTGTTGCTGGAATATACTAAATCACACCACTTCCTGTGCTGCAGAATATTTTTCCCAGAGAAAAACACACCTGCTGCCAGGCGCTTCTCACAACAAATTAAATGGGTTTGAAGAAAAGGGTATTGGTTCTCCCAACCAGACAGACAGAGTGGAAACATTTTCACATGTAAATGTCATGGATTATGACTTTATATGTTTACTTGGTCAGTTACTGCACACTATGCGTTGAGTGAGTTTTATGATGCTGTCATTAAACCTGTTCTCATATGAACCATCAAAAATATTTCTCTGTTGATAAAGTTTGGTTTTTAAGTGTAGTTTTTATTTAATAACAGTGTTGTGCACTTTGTTTTCCTTTGTAACCCTGCTGGCTCCTCAACACAGTTCAGCTCTTAGGGTTGATATGCACTGGGAACCGGGTGGGAAACTTGTATGAAATCTGGCAACTGCAATGATCCTGCATTTCCTCGTTTCTCAGACAGTGTCTTTAGTTCTCAGACAGATGCAGAGTTCAGTGGAAGGACAAATAAATCTGAAACACAGGCTGAAACTGGAAATAGCTCCAGTGCCACTTCTTTGTGTGGACAATGGAACAGAAAAGCAGAAGAATATCCTTCCCAGTTAGTGAAATGAAAACTTTATTAAAGGTCTGTGTTGGTGAACTGTGTGGCCATACCTGAATGAGATTAATAATCTCAGGTTCTCCAGTGGACTGAGCCTATTCCTCAAGTAGAAAGTGAAAAGACTTCCCACATGCAAGGGTTGATTAAAACATAGTACAGTTATTCATTTCTGTTTCACATAAAAGAAAAAGATATTTGAGGAATTGATGACTTCTATGTGTAACCCATCCATGTGTCTTTTTTCCCCCACAGCATGTGTTTACGATGGATCCTACGAATGTGGAGAATGGACGAGGGAAGGTTCCACATGACCCCAGCGTCCCCTTTGCTAGCACCTTCAGTGGTATGTCTTGTGTTTGTGTTTTGTCTATATTTCTAAACAATTTGTCAAGTTATGGAGCTAATATGGCTAGGGAACCCGTTTCACTCTTGGTTTCTGTCTGCCTCTTCACTGTCAACCATAAGGAAAACTGAGGACATAAGATCCAAAGAAGTGGGTGTTCTTTCCCTTTGCGCAAGTTGACCCAGTGTGACCAGGCTGTCAAATTAACATTGTCCTTTTTGGTATTCGTTATCTGCCACATTAATCTTTTTAAACTGCCAAACACAGGTAGTCTACCTTTCACCTCTCTGCACAGATCTCTGCTATGTTTTGAAATGATAATAATCTCAAGAACAGCAACCAGGGAAACCTTCTTTGGCTCTGACATACACACACACACACACACACACTGAAGCTTTGCTGACTATAGGTGAAATAGTGTTGGGTGTTTCTCTTTGAATGTCATTAGGTATTAAGCTTAAAATGAAACAACTCTGATTTATAACAGTGACAGACAATCCTGGGAGCCGCTGAGGTGTGTGTGTGTGTGTGTGTGTGTGTGTGTGTGTGTGTGTGTGTGAATGCATAACTTGATCCCACCTTTCTCTCTCTACAGCTGGGTGCTTTCAGCATCAGTATTTATCCCACAGTGTATCGTATCTGGCAGGAAAATGTTAAATTATAGCCAAATATTCAGTAGTTTGAACCTCAGCAGAGATATACGGTACAGTGGACACATTAATACAGAACAATAAACACAAAGCTGTTGAGGAATGCCATTTGCCCTACAGAATCTCATTGTAGAATGACTGCTTGATAAAAATTGATTTTTAACATACATGCTGGAATAGAATGGTAATTTGTTCAAGGTTAATGCACCTGCACCAATTTAAATGTCACTTTCAATGTAGAGAAGGTTCAAAACGTTGACTCAGCAGATTTGTTGGCCCCCTCAAGGGCAGAAGGATTGTGTAAGATGACCAGACGGCGGGAGTTTAAGCTCCTGCCACAGGACTGTCCCTGAGTCTGACTGACTACTATATGACCGTGACCACTGACCTCTCTATGGATTTTCCCCATCAGGGATCAATAGTGTGCTAAACTCTGAATGGTTCTTATTGGCCCTTGATGTATACCGACACTCCATCGTCCTACAGACACAGCCACACAAACAGAACTGGACCAACATATTAAAGCACATGATGAAAAAATAACGAAAAAGAGATTCCAAGAATGAAACAGTAAAACATGATGAAAGTCTGTATCATCAAACCAATAATGTTTTCCGCTCTTCAATATCAGGATCTTCTCCCAAAATACACACAGCTCAACAGGCTCTGTCATCACCAATTTCTACATCTATGTGTGTCTGTTTATGTTTGCTTACTTGAACATGATTTTGAATTTACTCTGTCGTTGCGTCTGTTTGTATGGTTAAGAAGGATATGTGTGTTTCTAATACCATTATTACAGCCAAATCGGAAGATTTTGATAAGATAAAGGAGAATTAATTTACACCTGTGAGATCACTGAAACAGTCTCTGGCCTGATTCAGTTTCTATATGGCTCACTTTGCTGGGAAAAATGTAAAAAACAAATAGGATTATTTTGAAAAACTATCACTCTCATAATTCTTCATTTAAAAGTGGTTGTAGAGATTTCTGTCCTTGGCTGTTTCCAAGTTCTAGACTAATGATGGATAGTCCCGGCTACTAAAGGGTTTTCCAAGGTTCATGTACGAGACATGCCACAGGAAATATTTTATTTCTATTTGCAGGAAAATCAATTTTCTGAGTTGTTAAAATGTAAAGTGAGTCTATGCCTATGGTCTCAGTCTCAGTGAAGGATGTACTGTACCAGTCTGTTCTTTATTGGATTTGTTCAATATCCTCTTTACTTCCTCTCCTCTCCCTCATTTGCCTGAACCCCCCATTTTTTCTCTGTCACCCATGATTTCCTTATTGTTCGACTCTACCAGACATTTTATTTTCCCCAATCTCTTTTCCTTTATTGCTGCTGTTCCTTTACATTCTCATAACCTTATTGTCCAATCCTTTCCTCACCCACCATCCACTTAACCTGACTGTGCCAATGGTTTGTTACACAGAACTATCTGGGAAGTCAGTTGGAAACTGTTTGGAAAAGGGAAGATATTTTCAAAAAATACTCTGCAGGTGATTGGATGAACTGGATGATTAGATGATCTGTCCATCACAATCATCTATCACAAGCAAACTTCAACCAATCATATCAATAAACCATATAACCAAGTCAGGAGAAGACCAAACATATCTTTTCCATCGAGAAAAGCCTTCAGTGCCATTCTTTGCTCTTCTTTCATTGAAGAAATACTCTCCAGTTCTGATATAATTGATGCTACCAGCAAATATGCTTACCTCTTTAACAGCTGCCAGTGTTGTTTCCAAGCAAACAGTCACTTCTCACATACGTCACACACACCTAAGATTAAACCACATGCATAGTTTATGACGTAGCTGCCAACAATTCCTCATAATTTGCGTGATTTCATCATCTTGTGTGTCCAGCTGCTTTGCAAGGTTACCATCCACTCTCGTTCCTATATGTTGGTTTCCTCTACCGCTTTCTTTTAAACATACTCTCTATCTCTCCCACTACCTCTGTCCTTGCTTTCTATAGGTGGGGAGTTGTATACAGGACTGACGGCTGATTTCTTGGGTAGAGACTCTGTGATCTTCAGGAGTATGGGAGGTCGCTCCATTATGAGGACAGAGACTGACCAGAAGCTCCTCCATGGTAATGTTTCACTGTTTTATTAACCTCTTACATTTGATACAGAAATAAGAAAATTAAAATTAAACATTGATTTCCATATCAAGAGATCTTGCAGTGTGTTATTATTATATTAGGGTATCTAATCCCAGGTTAAAAGAAAAGCTGTGTTCAAACCTGAGCTGCCTGTGCAGAGTAGACTTTAATATAAGATGGAGACTGCAATTGCCAAGTGCCATATGTAAGATATTCATATTAAAAACACTGGTAAGATCATGAAAAACAAACTATCTACGACTATGTTGCATTTTATATTATGTGTCACCAGGTCACATTGGAAAATCTTCCAGACTGATATATAGTCTTAGGTATTTATCATTTTGATGATATTATGTGTTTACATCCACATCTCTCCATCCTTACATCTTCCTCTGCAGACCCTAAGTTCATTGCTGCCCACCTGATCCCAGACAACGACGACAGAGACAACGATAAAGTGTATTTCTTCTTTACCGAGAAGGCCACAGAGGCAGGGGACAGGGAGGGGGCCATACACACACGTGTCGGACGAGTGTGCGCGGTGAGAAGCTTTACTGTTTATGTATAGTACATGATGATATTTCTGTTAAAGATGCAGCAGGTAACTCAACAACTTCTCATAGCAGTGGGTTAAGTAAGCTTCAGCATATTTTACTGGCCAACATTTTGAAACATCTATTGCATGTGAAAATATGTGCAGAAACAATGTCCCACTTACTCAAGATAATAAGACACCAGACACAAGTTAGCTACAGATACAGATACACACAAAAAGATTTTCTTTTGGCAGGTGTCAATTGAGTGAAGCCAGATGGGCAGGAGAGCAACACAATGCACTTCCTTATGGCCACATAAATATGCAGTTCCAGGAATGAGACATCTGCAGGGGTGTTTCACTCCAGAACAAGGTTGTGGAGTTTTGATCTGGGAGTCCTTTTGGGCTTTCTTGTTTTCTGGAGGATCCGTTATGGACCTCAAATTATGAGTCAACGCCAGGCCTTTCAGTCTGATGTATAGATTCACACTCCCACTGGAAAAGGTTATATGAGAAAACAAATACAGAGAAAAAGTGAGTTAAAAAGAGACAGTTATTTGATTTAAGGGTCTGTTTCGACATGGTCACATACAAATGTCTGCAGGATTAACTTCCCAGGACAGGAGGCAATGGTTTTATGGGTTTATCCTTCTACTGTGACAGTTAAAAACAATGTTTGTGGAAAAGACAAATGTCTTTTGAGGTAATCAAATATTTACATTTCCCCAAAGGACTGTGAAGGCCCCATGATATTCAAAATCATATGAATCCTTTCTACAAAACACACAGTTGTCAAATTGCCAAACTGTGATCCTTGTCTGCTCGGCACGCTCTCCCACATTCTTTCACGCATTGATTTAACTTATAAAACCATATGTGGGCTGTATGTGCCACATGCAAATAAAGGTCTGCATAGAAGAACACACACTCACACACACAGCTGCAGGATTTCTGTAGAGACTGTTCAACTGTGCCAGAAAAGTTTGCACAAACTTCTCAGGCAGAATTCCACCTGAACCTTCAAATTATTACTTTCTTTGTCATCCTCATATCCATCCGTCCTACTCCTCTCTCTCTCTCCATCTGTCTTCTTTTCTCTCCTTATACACACGTATTAGTATAATATTTCCTCTCCAGCCATCTTTTTATCCCTCAGGCAAATCTCAAAAGTTGTCATCACTTTTCCCTGTGGTGCTTCATGCCAAGAAGCCAATTATCACTGCTGATCCTCATCACACACACACACTCACACACACACACACACACACACACACACACACACACACACACACACACACACACACAAATGTCCATGCATGCTGTCATTCATATACGTGCATGCACACATAGATGTTGATTTCTTCAGTTCTGCCTTCAGAGACAGTGAAGGATACACACACGTGCACACGCTCCCTCAGCATCTATTGTGAGTGCTTACACATTTATTCTCTGCAAAACAACAATGGATTGTGTTCACAAAAGATTCAAAAGAGGTATAGTTTAGTTTCATCCTAACAGCATGTGTCTGTGCAGTTGTAATGTACAGTAGCAGTAGCTTCATGTGAGGTAGTGCTGACTTTCAGGTTTAATATGAATTGATTTAACATCAGATACATTGTGTAGGATTGCAGACTTTTTTTTTATACACAGTCCTTCAAATGTAGGTGCCAGTTTCACTCCCACCTTGTTTCAGGGGCTTTTTGTCTTAAGTTTGGTCTTCAACAGTAGTTCGATGGAGGTTATATGACAGACTCCTTCATTGCCTTGTCTTTACATTTAAGTAAAGTCCTGATGTAAATGTCCTAAAATTGGGAAATTATGTAAGAAAATGGGCAACAAGTATGCTCTGTTTTAGCCACTTCAAACAACCTTAAAGCTCCTTTAACTTCCAATCCAATCCAAATCCCTTGTGCTAGAGTACAGAGCCAAAAGAATGGAACTGTATTTGGAAATGAATATGCAGCTGTGTTTTATAGATTGTGTGTACTGTATTTCTGTCCTTCCTGCCAGAATGATGTTGGAGGCCAGAGAGTACTGGTGAACAAATGGAGTACTTTCATCAAAGCCAGACTAATGTGCTCTGTACCAGGACCTCACGGCATCGATACACACTTCAACCAACTGGGTGAGGACCTTTTTTAAAATAAACTAAAATGATGCTTTTGCATCTGCAAACATCCAGCAGCATTTCAGGTACAGTTGCACAAAACGCATAGGAGCTTAAATTCACACATTATTCTCTATGTAACACACATATTAAATGGCATTGTCTTTTTTTGTAAAACAGAGGATGTTTTCCTGCTGAGGACCAAGGATGAAAGGAACCCAGATGTCTATGCAATCTTCAGCACCATCAGGTGAATAATGTGTTTACAGGTTAACTACACACTCAATACTACTCACGTTTCCTAACACTAGAAGGTCAAACAGTGCCATCCTGACTGATAGAGATGCTAAAGCCTAAGTAATTGATTATTTGCAATTTGGTATAGTCCCATGGTGGTCAAAATACTGCAGTAGAGCATTACATGCATTACATACTGCAAATGTTACTGATCCACTTGCATTTCTTGTCAAATATTTTATCTAAATAATAAATAATAAAACGTTCAACTATATATCTCCCCTCTCTCCTCCACAGTAATGTGTTCCAGGGTTTTGCTGTGTGTGTTTACCGTATGGCTGACATCAGAGAAGCCTTCAATGGACCCTTTGCCCATAAGGAGGGCCCTGACTACCAGTGGGGAGCCTACGAAGGGAGGGTCCCTTATCCAAGACCAGGCGTGGTGAGTATATCATCTCTAACCCTAAATTTATTCTTAAGTGGCCAACCTTAATCATACATTTAGCATACTGTACTTACATTAATACATTTCTGCTTGGCAACATCAAAGGACCAGTGTGTAGGATAGTTTTTATAGTTACAGAACTGACAACTTGGGAATGAGACATGTTGTGAAGTGCACAGGAGAAACTATCGTGGCCGTGAAACTCGCAAAAAATGCACACAAAAAATGGAAAAGGCCCTTTCTATAATAATAATATATAATAATATTATTATATTCAGTGTGTAAAGCCCAGTTCAGACGAAAGATTCTCAACGAGATGAGTTGAAACGCTCTGTTCAACATTCTGCAACCTGGCCAGTTCACACTAATTCAACTAGATGACTAGTTATAGTGAATTATTTGCTACAGTTGCATTTTATTGATGAAACAATGAAACTCTCAATAAAATGGCAGATTTGTGAATTTGGATCTGTCCATGGGTGCATGGGTACATTTAAAGGCTTGTGCGAAATAGACTGATGAGGTGATCCTCTCTTTCCTCTGTCCAATACTCATTGACCAGCTGTTTGTTACTGACTTCACCAGCTGACTTCGCAACCGTTGACAACAGGTGATGTACCTTACGTTGAACTTCAGTCCGATGACTTGTATTCACGTTTCTACAGACATAATGTGGAGAACATTGTATTTTCCCTTAAACATATTTAGCTAAAGTCATAAAGTTGTGTACAAATTATTTAGAAGCGGTTGTCCAGGCCTACTGTGAGTGCTGAAACAGAGAGGGGAAAAGAATTGCAAATAGAAAGGTGATAAAAACATTCAAAATGAGGCATATAAAGTTTCCATATCAGTAAAGTAAACTACTGTATGTGGTAGTGCAGCTGTGGTGACTGTATACAGTACAGACCCTTCTTCTGGTTTATATCCCGACTCTCGGTGGAGCCCTGTCATGTTCTCTCAACCACATCACTGTAACTCAGGCTTATTATACTCACAAACACGCGTGTGTAGGCAACACACATATACACGATCATGTCGCGTGTGTAATTTCAACTCATTACCAGAGTGAAGGAGAGCGTATGGTGGCAGAAGGAATATGAATAATGTGAGAACAGAGCAGACACCTCTGTGGTTTCACTCCACTGACTCTCTGATTAACAGGAATGTTTTGGCCAAAAACTGAAAGTGAGAGTGTAAGAGAGAGAGGGAAAGAGGAAATGGAGGAAGAAGAAACAGGGGAAAAAGCTGATGATTCAGGGTAGGCTGATGAAGAGGAACAGATGGGAAGAAGAGAAGGAGTGAGAATATAGAGGGGGTTGATTTTTGCTTCTTTCTCCTTGAAATATTCAGAAAAACTCACTTGACAAAGATGCTATCCTACCTGATGTTTAGCTAAGGTAAAATATTATCTTGTAAAACAGTTTCAAATCAGTGATAATGACCTAGATTTGTCTATCTCACTTGCACTAGACAGAACATTCATTTCATTTACCTGGATTTTTCATTGTTACAGATTTAATCTTTTTAACCATGTAATATCCATCATGTCTCCTTACTCACCGGTCAAAACTGAACCAGCAATGGAAAATAAAAGTTCAGTTTCATCTTCCAAAATAATCCCTTTGAGAGATTTGTAGGATTTTCCTCCCTTGATGTTTATCTTGGATTGAAATATTACTGCACATTGTTTAAATTTGTGTCAGAACTAATTCTGTAATAGAGGAAATGATGGGATAGTCTCTTTATTGCAGATTTACCAGAGCTTCACTGGTAATCCTACCTGGACCTTGGCATTACATTACATTTTCTTTTTGATGTATTTGTCTGTCATCCATACTGGCATCCATTTTCATCCTAAAGTCTTATGTTTGATAGTTAAATATCAAACTTCTTGGATTGCTACTACTCATGTTTTGTCCTTAATTTACCTAAGTGTTTCTCTTGGATAGATTTTTGACATGAAAATCAACCACTATATTGTGCTGTCTCCTTGACAATTGGAGCATTGTCTGCATTTTTCTGCCTCCTGCCTGAACTGACTGATTTGATTCAAAGTGTCATATTTCCAAGGGTGAAGCGAAGGAGTTCCAATCTGCAACTGCACCGCTAGATGCCACAAAATCCTACAAACTGGTCCTTTAAGTTTTATTGTCTTTCAAAAGGTTATTACATTTACATTGCAATGCACTTTAAATGTTTAAATGTTCAATTAAAATAGCAGCTCCAGTGCTATTTTATGATTAAACTATATTATGTGCTATTACAGATGAGTTTTTTAAAACGTTGCAAATGTTGGTCTCCTCTGCTATGTCTGTTGGTTAAAATGGACACATTTCAGGGCTCACACGATGCATTCTGTGCTTAACACGCATACATGCAACCACACTCACATACGGTACATACACATACAAACACATACATACGCAGTCATAATGGACATGAATAGATGTCTGCCAAATATGCTCACCTCTTCTTTCTCTCATTAATCCTCCCCTGGTTGTCAGCTGGAGATTGAACACAGTCGACCTGTTGCACCAAAGTTTGGATGAGTTGACAACAGATTTTGGGGCTGTTCCAGTTTAGGTTTTATGTGTACAGATGAGGAATAGTTTAGTGAGCAGTTTAAAACAGACTGACATATCAAGGATGTTCCCTGAGAGCTGCACAAGTAGTGTGTAACTGTGTGAAAGTTGAAGTTACAAAAGGAAAGTGCATTATGTTGTTTTGTTTCTGTGTGTAAAAATAACAGTTACGTTGATTTTAGCATAGAGTTTACCCATTTTGAATAATACACAATTCATGCACTAAAAATCATATTTACATTTTTTGGAAAGCATTTGAAGTTAGAGAGTTGGAGAACTGAACTTGGATTTGCTTAAACATTCCACACCTTCTGGAATAAATTATAATTGATACCATTTATTGAACCATACTCAGAGGAATGTACCATTAGACATCAATAGTTTGTGCATTTTGAATCCAGCGTCCCTGCAGAGTTCAGATCCCCTCTCTGAAATTGAATCCAGACCTTACAGGGCTATTGTGTGTATCAGTTACTGTTGTGATAAGCAGAAGTAACAATATTTCTACCATATGGAAGTACAGTCTGGAATAGCTATACCAGGCAATGAGATTTACACAAATACCAATTGTTCAAATGACTAACGGCTCTCTCAAGAATCTCATCTGTGTAAGGGACTCAATCTCAATTAAATTCTACCCTTTTCTGAGCCTTAATTTATGATATTTGGCGAAGATGTCAGCCTCACGACTTTGGCAGATGTTTTCATTTTAGTCAGTTGCTGCTGGAGTTTTACTTTTCTTTACTGATGGAGCTTCCCTCTGCATCCCAGCCTCCCCCTTCATGAAGTGATCAGTTTGTCAGCCGATGCAGGTTATTTCAAAGTAATATCCTTTCTCTGTTCTCTCTTTACTTGTCTTTTTTTTGTATACTTGAGTAAAAATATCATTTACCACTGAGTAGCTAATCTGAGTGTTACTCTTGAAATCATCCCCAAAGCAACCTTTTTATTGTTCTTTCTTTGGCCAATTAAGACTACACTGGAGTCTTCTGAACTCTCCATTGCTGGAGGGAGAGCATTGCCACTGCATTGCATTGATTTTAATTTCACAAAAAGGCAGGTTACATCATCCTTTAATTGGGACATGAAGGGGATCCCAGAGTTTAAGAGAATCATGGATAAAGTGTGAGTGTGTGAGTTCTGAACGCTGTAAATCTTTCAATGGAACAATAGACAAACAAGCCATCACTCACGGTTTTGGCCACCAGCAGAGACAACAATAGAACTGAACAGCTGGCATTTTCTAGCCATAGTTGTATTAAACAAAACAGTTGCAGTGAAGACGTAGAAAAAAGGAGCTGTGCGTGACAAAGACTTTGGCTCCTTTGTAATGAATTGTTGATCTGAATCATTAGCAAACCCAAAGGTCATATGGTTGGCGTAAATGCCTTCACTTGGACAGTGTTCAACCCTCTTAATTATTTGAGTAATGCAGAATTTCAGCCAAGTACCAGCACATGAATTTTCTCATTACTACAGTGACACAAAAAGGAGGATTTTTAACTAACAACAAACTGCTTCTATAAAGCTGCTTTCAAACACATAACTTTACAACAGTGGTTGTGAACTTTAATCCAAAGTTTTCAGGCACAATAAAACTACTAATGAGGGTTCTTTGAGAAGACTTTAAGACCATAATTAGGCCACAATTCTTTTAAAGAAAGCACACCTCCCAGGGTTGGAAATGGTGGGAATGTAGAGTCAAGGTGGAAAATAGCCAGAGTTTTGCTTTAAACTCTTTAAACCCTTCTGTCTTGCTTCTGTTTGTGTATCCATACCTCCATCCATTTTTTTCCTCATCAGTTCGCCAGCCAAGAATTTTACCAAAACAGTTCTGCCTTAGATAACCCACCTCCCTTTTCCTTTTCCTTTCTCCACATCTATCTCATTTCCCCCATCCACCTTTCAAGTGCCCCAGTAAAATCACCAACCAGCCAGGCAGAGAGTTTGGAAGCACAAAGGACTTCCCTGATTCAGTGTTGCAATTTGCCCGTAACCACCCATTGATGTGGCGGCCAGTGTATCCTGCCCTGCGCCAGCCTGTGCTTGTAAAAGCCAACATTCCTTACAAGCTGAAACAAATCGTGGTGGACCGGGTCGAGGCAGAGGATGGGCAATATGATGTCATGTTCATTGGCACAGGTAAGTGTGTTTGTGATTCCAGAAACCAGAAACCAGAAACTTGTATTGCCATGTACTGTCACTTGATTTATTCAAGTTAGATTTGGTCTAACAGTGAAATGCATTTGGGATTTTAAGGATAAAACTTGTCACTTACAATATGTCTACACTTGTCTTTCAGATATTGGTACAGTATTGAAGGTCATTGCCCTGCACAGTGGAAACAGCCTGGAGACCGAGGAGATCACACTGGAGGAGCTACAAGTGTTTAAGGTAAGTTTTACTCATCAGGTCTCTCTACGTTTCTCTCTGCTTCCTCCTCAGTCATTTTTTTGTAAGGCCAAATAGGAGAAGCCTCCATTCACCATTAAAGATAACATTTCGTTCAGTGTGTCTCTGTCTGTGAACCACCACAAAAGTTATTTCAAAACCTAATCAGATTTATTCTCCTCATTTTTAAAGAATAATTCTTTTTAATTTACTCCCCTTTCACATTTTGGGTTTTCTTATTGCAAGCCTTGTCACACATTGTGAGGTCAATTATTTTCATTATTGCAGGTGCCGACTCCAATTACATCAATGGACATATCTGTGAAAAGGGTAAGCTGATTTAACCGTGATTGCTAGCTTTAAAGGTCACTTATATTAACTTAAACTTTTATCTTCATTATGCCTTACTCCCTTTGTTATTCCTCTCATCATCTCAAACAGCAAGCCCTGTATGTGGGCTCTCCAGCAGGTGTGGCACAGGTGAAGTTACATCGCTGTGAGACTTATGGAAAGGCCTGTGCTGAGTGCTGCCTGGCCAGAGACCCGTACTGCGCCTGGGACGGATCCTTGTGCGCACGATACGTGCCCAACAGCAAGCGCCGCTTTCGCAGACAGGACATCAGGCATGGAAACCCTGCATTGCAGTGTGTGGATCAGAATCTGAGTGGTAAGAGTGAGTGCTTTGTAATTATGCAGGACTATTTCTTGGCCAGGTGAAGTGACTTCCCTGATTCATCACAGTGGTGACGACACTCCGGGAAGTTACAGCACCTGGCCTAGCAACTTGTAAAACTGCAACGTTTTTTTTTTGCTGTTTTTTTTATGGATCAAACAATCAAGATATAACTTAACTTATTTATTAGTGAGCTTCAGAGGTGCTGACAGCATGATAGCAGACTAGCTGTTCCCCCCTTCTTCGGTCGGCAAAGCTATTAAGACATGAGACTGGTAACAATCTTCTCATCTAACGCTTGGCAAGAAAGTGAATAAGCTTCTTCCCAAAATGTTGAATTCTGCCTTTATTAAAGGGTTCGTTGCTGGGAAGATTAAGGTTAGGATGCTCCATCTGCTCCACCCAAAAAAAAAAGTTGTACCACATTTTTCCCAGGAAACTGTAGATAAGCATTACTTCTTGTATGGTCTAGACAAGGGTGGTGCTCTCCTTACACACTCTAAACTATTTAGCTGTGGATAGGAAGAATACCAGTGAGGCTCCATTCTTGTGTATACTCTACATGAGTCTGTAAACACCTTGAGGTCCAGGGGAAGATGCTATTGGACATGTGCCAACCGTTTTTGAATGAAGACTGTATATGTGTGTTTGTGTCTGTAAGGGTCAGTGGACGTCTTTGTGCCTCTTTCTCAGGATGGTTTGGGAGAAGTCTGATTTGTGCAAAGTCTGTCAGTTTATCCAAGCTGTGTGAGACAAATGTTCAACAGTTTATTAGACAGAAAATGTATGTTAACTCTTCAACAACACGTGTCTGTTTACACATTACACATTCAGTGTATGAAGAACACAACATTGTACTTATTTCACACCAGATCTTGCATCTTGTATGAGACTGTGTTAATGGAAGATGAGAAATTATGTTTTTGCCATCATTGGTCCTTTATAACGTTGGTGAGAGGATAGGAAGACAGAACGAAAAATGCTGGTATGTGGGTGTGGGGAGAGAGAGAGAGAGAGAGAGAGAGGGAAAGACCTGACAGATAAGCTCAAAGTGTCTGTCATCAGCAATCATATAAAAAGCAAGAGCAAATAAAAGTAGAAAGACAAATGAGTGGGAGAAAATGGAAGTAGGGGATGTGGAGGTGAGATTGAGAAAAAGTGTGAAGACAGACAAAGAGGAGAAAAATTAGGCTATGGAGCGGCAGGGATGAAGGGTGTGTGTTGGCTGTGTGTTTGCTCACCTGAGTGTAGGTATGGTGCTGAGGTGATGAAGTATGCCGCCCTCGGGGCCTTTGGATGAACCCACGTTTTTACAAAGTTTCTTTGTGCCAAAGTGTCAAGTCGTTGAGGCATGTGTTTCTCTTGCTAAGACTGAAATATCATCCTATTGTTTGCTATTTGTTAGAGATTAATTCTAAATGTGTACTCACATGAACTCAAGTGAATGTTATACAACAAGCTACTGGCAAAGATACTGCCTGCTTTAGTAGCTGTGTCTCCATATCACTATTATAATCAGACACACATCATCTGTTTTCTGAGGTTTTCAGTTCAGATTGCAACTGTTCCTTAGTAAGTATTTGGGATTGATGTCTCTAAGAAACAGTTCAACATTTCCCCTTTCATTTTCTTCTTGAGAGTTGGATGAGAAGATCAATACTGCTCTCATGCATGCTAAATATAAAGGTGAATCCAGCAGCAGGTTAACTTAGCTTAACATAAAGACTGCAAACAGGGGTAAAGAGCTGCTGCTGGGTCATAAAGGTCTTGTTCAAAACACTATAATAAATAAATAACTTCCAAATTCACAAAAACAAATATTCACGGACTCATTGGCAGTGTGCAAGCCATACCTTGGCTTTCTGGGGAGCTCATGCTCATCTTTTTTTCTTTCTCAAGAGAGGACTGACTGACTCACACTATGCTGACTATAAAACAGAGCAACAAATAAGTCAGTGGCTCTGGTCAGTTTGTTCAGTTCAGTTTAGGCTGTGGCCACTGCGAGGTTGCTGAGCCCAGCTCCATTGCCCCTCTCCAGTCTTGGCAGTCCAAAGCTCCTGTGCTAGCGGTGTAGACAAACCTCCACGGTACTTTGAGCTTGCAGTCTGGGTACAGTCGGCTGATGGGATAGCTCGTAGCGCATGCACCAGTACTGTGTTACAACAAAAAAGGTCCATGTTGCAACAATCCCCTGATACTTTCGTCTCAGTGACAAGGCACAACTTCCGTTTGACACAGTTTTTTTTTCCTGTAGATATCCAACTAATGAAAAGTGCGTTGACTAAAACTGTGAAATGTGCATTCTCCAGACATAAAAAAGTTTATATCCTTTCTTTTTTAGGATTCACACTACTCAGATTGTTCCTGTAAAGGTGCCTTACATGTACATAGTCGAATGTGCCACTCAAGAGGACTTTTACGCATAGAATAGGTGTCTGTAAAGAGAATCAAACCCATACCAGGAGTTAAGTCTGTTACTTTTGCAGTGCTGTTTAGACTTTATTTTCATTCTTTCACAATCTTTCACATTGTCTCTTTTTCAACCAGAAGAGCTCGATGTGACAGAAGACAGGGTGGTGTATGCGACAGAGAACAACAGCACCTTCCTGGAGTGTGTTCCTCGCTCTCCACAAGCTACTGTTACCTGGCTCGTCCAACGTGACGACCACAAGGAAGAGGTAAGATGATAAGTACATAGCCATCAGATGAAAGTCAAGATGATAAAATGCCATACTGTTCTAATATATTATGGGTGGACAGTGGGGAACCAACAGTGGCCAGAGTTACTACCTTTAAAAGTGAGATTTGTGTGTGAATTTGGCAAGTGGTTGACACTTTTGACAACCATTTGACATATGGTTGAAATTAAGCAGTTATATTTCAAAGGAAAATGTACAACTGCTCGTTCTCTTGGATAAACAGAGCATTCTTTGCAAACCTTGACCATATGCCACTGAAAGCTTAAGTGTCACTCAATGTCTACTGTGACTTAAACGCAGACTTGCAAAGTCCTTTTAAAGCGCTACTTAGAAAAATTATGTTGCTCTATTTGCCCACACCCACAGTAATCATTCATTTGTTTGAGGCTATGTTTCTCCAAGCTTAACCTAGTGCTTCGGTCAGCCATGCAAGTATTAAGGCATTACCACCCCTCTCCATTTCCTTGCAAATAAACATTTGGCTGCCACTCCAGCTGACAAGGCTGCCATGTTTGTGTTGGCAAAGAGGGATAGTTAGACAAGCAGAGGGATGGAATCTAAAGGGGGGGGGGTGTACAGAAGGTAGATTGAGAAAAGAGGTATAGCAGAGAGACGTGGGGTGGAGGTAGGTAAGGTAAGAAAAGGAGAATGAGAGGAAAGAAAAAGCTAGAGAAAGTAAAAACTAACAGTGACTGGATTTCATGGTACATTCTTGCTGTTGCAATTCAAGCTGAGAAAACAGTTCAAAGAGCCCCGTTCTCCCTCTTTCTTTTCTCATGCTACAAAGTGGATTATTTCCCCCAAATTTTCCTGATTTATTTTTTATAGTTTGGTGAATAGGCTCAACACAGTGATGGCACAATTTTTACAGGGATTTTTCTATAAACAAAGTCTTCTGCCATCAGAATAAATTGGAAGATAAAGATGATCTCATAAAGTTTTGATGTAACAGAAGTGGCTTTAAAAATCCTATTGTCATGGCACTCGCCATGTTTTGAAACATTTATGTACCACAAAAGCCATTTGCGACATCAAAAGCATCAAATTTCAATTAATCTTGAAAAATAAAAATTTGCTTAAAGTTTTGCAAAGAAACCTTAACCAATTTAACTTTGCTGTATAAAGGTGTAAACTATAAGTGTGACTCATTTGTTTTCTTTTGTATACCATTGCAGTGATATGACTATACAGTCACAGTCCAATCTGAAACCAAGCCACTACAATTCAAGTGAATGTGGTTCTTATTTCCTCTGCATCATTAACCATATGTCATATACGAAAAGATAGAAACGTTTTCCCTTTGCATCACTCAGGTGAAGCTGGACGATCGTGTAATGTCTACAGAGCAGGGCCTCCTGTTTCGTCGCCTCTTCCGCCAGGACGAAGGCGTGTACATCTGCCGCTCCCGAGAGCACGGTTTCACACAGACCTTGGTCCGCCTCACCCTCGAAGTCCTCCAGGGGGAGACTGTGGACGAGCTCATGGCACGTGACAACGCCGGCCTCTCTGATTCATTTAAGGACCGGTCAGGAGGCTACAGGGCCTGGATGCCATGCAGCACATACAGCAGGGGCAGCTCGTCAAGCCAAATGGGTCAGTCACGTACATGGTTTAAGGATATCATGCAGCTGATTGGACCATCAAACCTGCCGCACGTTGAGGAGTACTGCGAGAGGATGTGGTGCAACGACAAGCTGAGGAGGAAACACAAGAGCATGCTGGAGAAATACCGCCAGGCGCAGGAGAGTGCCAGGAAGGCTCGTAGCAAGAGCTCCGGAGAAAGGAATCGGACACCGAGGGATCTCAGTGCATGGGAGGAGTAACAGGGAAGAGGCGAGTGGGGGAGAAAGAAGGCGAAAATTGAAGAAGAAAAAAGGGACAAAGATTACCGTATAGGGCAGGATGAATTGGGCAGCAAAAAGGGCGAAGACCAGCATCAACTCCTAACAGTTGAAACTCTTTTAAGAATAAAGTAGATCAGAGCTGAACCTAACAGAAAAGATTTTATGAAATGAGTGCATGTATAGGTCAGGTGGTTCTGGATATGGCCCAAAAAAGACAGAAGTGTTTGGTTGTCTGGAAAGACAGACAAAAGAGACCACTACTGAACTGAACAGGTTGTTGCTGATGTAATGAGCTTGATGAAGAAAAGATGAGAGACAGTCTTTCAAATACACTCAGAGGACGCTTACCAAGGATTCCTCCCCCCTCTCACACTTGAGATTACACTTGTATACTTCTACAGTTATTGAAATGACAGACACTGCTTTCATTTCATCAAGTTATATAAAACCTTCAAAACTTCACAAACCTCAGATTTATAAAAACATATGCATGCTTTTGGACTGACTTTCCTGGCAGCCTTGTGGACTCTTTGATGAACAGTTGGCTCCTGGCAGATTGGGGCTTCAAAACAGATCACTTTTATTTACTTTGCATCTTTGGATTACAAAAAAGTGCCAATCTGACACACATGGACACATACGCTTTCTCTCCATTAGTTTTTCTCACTCCCAAGCTGGACAAATTTCTCACAATGAAATCACTGGATTCATCAGTTGGTATTTAATGGTCCATGTGTCTTGCCTTGCTTTTTTAAAATCAAATATTAATGCATGACTTCAGCTCAAGACATAACTGACTTTGCAGTATATTTATAAGAGGCATATGCAGCTAATGCACACAGACTCTTATCTCGCCAGTGTACATGGATACAAACACACACTCATACATAAACTGAAATCCCACTCACCCTTCACACTGAACGCACAAGCTCAACTAGCTCAAACTGGAAGCTACCATGAGACGACTGTTGATGGTTCAACAGATTAAAGGCACATTGCTTTGTTTTTACTGCTGTGGGTTGAACGTTCCATTAAACACCAGCTACAGATAAAAACTCCCCCCTCAGCGACCCTTAAAAAAGGATATTTCACGGGGGCTTCTTTTCATGCTTTTGGGTACATACCGTAACACCTCCTGGAATGTACCTAATGGCCACAGTCATGGCTCCGATTCTTACTTCCTTGGAAAACTAAGTCTGTGACATTTAGATCAATCCAACCAGTTTTTTCAAGTCAGTAAAAAACCAGCCAATAAAGGAGAAAACATATATCCTGACCCCTCAGTGGTATCCTCGCCTCACACTTTAATCATCCACTAAACTCATTTTCCCAAGGTTTCTCTGTGTGCCGTAGCTCTCCAGTGAAAATAGAGGGAACAATAGAAGGGGTCAGCTGTAATGGCCGAGTCCTCTTGTGCTTTCTGCTTTGTAAACACTGGTTTTAAGACGGTTCATGGTTTGAACACATGATAATCCACATTGTTATTGTCTTTAGTTTTGCTCTTATAATATAACTTTTTTCACAAAAACGAATAACAGGTTTCAGGTTTTCCTTCTAGGCAGCAGGTGGAGAAGAGAACATGGGGTTTTGAGTAGATGTAAGCATTGTAGCCTAGAGTCAAATCTGGCTTCAGATGTATAAAAGAGAAGTGTAGAGGTCAGGGCAGAAAGAGAGCTTCGGTTTCATTGAGGGGCTATGTGTGGATGGGAGCTTCAGTAATAATATAAAATATTAGAAATAACCACAAACTGAAGAAGAAAGATAATGTGAATAGAATTGTGTAAACAGATTTTTTGACTGAAAAGAGTTTTAAGAGTTGCTTTCAGCTGTATCACTTATATAACATTAGAATACATTAATGGAGGCTTTTGACTTGCATTACTTATCTAGAAATCTCCTCTGGCCTCAACATGGATGTCCAGTGGAGATCTGTGTAAATGATTGCGAAATATAATACACCCAATAAACAATGGAAAACATGTGCCTATATGTCTCTATAGTTTAAAGCTACCAGATTCATATTTTTTTAATTGTGTTTAACTCTTTAATCTTTGTCCCTGTCTGTGTACAAGTCCAAGCTGAGATTACTATTTTTACTGTGACTGAGGAAATTCTAGCGATAAAGTGGTGAATTAATCAGTTTCCAATTATAAACCATACAAAGGGTAACCACGGTTACTGGATTGATTTGAATATAGCTACACACATTTAGAAACACAATCACCTGTTGCTAATAGCCTGTTGTTGCCAACAAACTGAGGACCTTCGATATGGGAGCCAGAGAAATCTCAGTAATACGTGGACATATGGAAGATGGTATATCAATTCTGGGAGCCCACTCATTGTTTAAAATTAGACAGGAAGTAACATTAACTCCAGTGAACTTGGTGACCTTTTTGTAACCTTCATGGCGTGTGAATGGCTTCTCAGAGGAAAAATTTAAAGAGAGGAGGAGTGAAGGGAGAAGAAAGGTGAGGAAGATTAAAATATAAAAAGTACTACAGGCATCTTGTGAAGGCTGTATTTGCAATTTAAAAAAACCCCAAAATCAATTTTTCCAGAGTTCCATCAGTAGAAGTATTTCAAAAAGTCCAGTTTGTACAGCACACCTAAACACGCGTTTTACTCTAACAAAGTTTATTATCTTAGTTTCAGCATTGTGAGAGTGGCTATTAGACTCCACTTATGGTGTTTTCTCTAATAATATTGCTTATGATGTCTATCTTAACTGAAAGAAAATGACAGGAGGACGGTATGCATGAAACAGAGAGAGAGACAGTTAGCAGGGTAAAATAGGGTTAAAAATCCCAAAGTAAATTTTTTCTGTACACAAGTACTTGGTCTGGTCTGCTTTGGTCTATGGTGATGATAAAAAACTGAACCACTATCATCAGAAATTTAAATTTGTGTTTAAGGTATAACTTTTGTGACTGGTTGTAAACTTAGTGTGTAAAATTGTCTAAAAATACAAGTTTCCTTTTTATAGCAACTGTCATAAGATGGACCGGCCAAACGAAATGCTGACACTTTTTTTGCTGGACAATGTTTTTGGGACACAAACGTCACCTTAGGATGACATTAATTTGTGCATTTGTGTGCCAATATGGAATTTTTTGTTAAAGACAAATATGTGCATCACTGATTTAAAGTAGTTACTGCATGTTCAGAGTACACATTGTAAAGACTTCAGATGCATTTCAGTTGTTGTACAGTTGTACAAAGTGTGTTGTGGTGTTGCATATTACATTTACTTTAACTCTTAAGCTATAGATAGTTAAGTGCAGTTTGTCAACTTTTTAACTTTTATCTTAGACACGTGTTCAATTTACAGCACTTATCCTGCCTTAACGTTCAACTATATTATTTTACAGTATTTATAAGAACAACGACTCAAACATTCATCAGTGTGATCAATGTATTGTGATAATTTTTGTAAAACTGGGGAAGGATTTCACTGCAGCATTTTGGGAAGTCAGCAGTCCAACGAGCACACCATAGCCGTTTAAATTTGAAGGGTTCAACAAGCACGATTTCCCTGCAGAAAACAGTCTCCCGGACATACAGGCAACAACACTCTCAATGTATAATATAGTGTAAGGGTCCTTGGATTAAAAATGAACAACAACTTGGTGAACTGTCCCTTTATTGTACTGTAAAATTGTGCTGGTTGTAGGGTCTCTGACAGAGCCTAATTTAAATGTGTATTTAAGTTTTATTTAAGTGTCTTTCTACCATGCATGCTATGTACTTGTATGCTATTTAACGCCATTAAAAGTTGACTTTCTAACATAAAGGAGGTGACCTCTGACTGAGTGTTTTAAAGAATTTTACTTGTTGGGGGCAGAATGGGAGTCTATTTAATGTTTTGGCGGGACAAGATTAATGGCGCCAGTGACATAAACACAGACAAACAGCAGTGCCCTGAAATGAGCCATTTTTATAAACCATAGCTTTTACTGTACTTAAACCAAGACATGCTCTATTTAATGCTGAATCAACAACATGCAGTCTGCACACCTGCAACAAGTCTGTTTGGCTTTTAATGTCAGGGTGGAATTGACTGGCTCTACTGCTTTCATTTATTATTTTTATTTGTGTGTGTTTATGTCTTTCTATACATGTGAGGACCAAAATATTCTTGGCTGAAAGGCAAAAAAATAACTTTTACCTTCCTTGGCTCATAAGGGTTAAGTTAAGGTTATGGTTACCCTTAGGGTAATCCTAAAGTTACAGTAAGTTTGGGATAGAGTTAGAAAACAAATGCAGTGAAGGTCCCCATATAACACAAATGTCTATCACTTGTACTTTCTGTTTATGTATGTGTGTGTGTGTGCACTTAAGTGTTCATATTAGCAGGCGGACATGTGCATGCCTGTGATTGCGGATTTACAAACCCAGTGGTGACACATTACGTTACCCAGTTACTGGGTCTAGCCATGCATGTGATTGGAAGGTAATTGGCCTGTTACATCTGTGGAAATTTGCAGTAACAATGGCTGCTTGTCGCTTCAGCAAACTCACCATCACATAAAAACCAAACCTGCCATGATGTCACACCTTGACAATTACTGCAACCATAAAAACACACACAAATGCAGGTTATACACACAAGCTTTGCACACACAGATGTGGAGATGTCATAAAGACAAACAGACGCATTGCCCTGGATAAAACCCCAGAATGCAAATTCTGATGTCAGTCTCCACTGTATAAAAGTAATTAAAGTGGGCCCTGTGTTTGTTCACAGTTTAGTATGGGTCAGGCCTCAATTTCTTTTATATGTAGGCCTTCAAATTAGTTAATTATACATTGAAGGGGAAAAAACACAAACTGGAAGTTCTTATATTCTAAAATAAAAATGTATGGGTCATACAAGTCATAGGTCAAAGTCTACTTTTCAGCACTGCATTTAGACTACATTCAAACGAGTTACGTTGAAAATGAATGAAATTATCTAACACTGTGAAGTCCTCACTTTTAAAGAATGAAGATTTATTGAAGCCTCTGATACACAGAATTCAACAAAATCACACAAAGTCGCAGTGGGAAAGTAGCCTAAATGTAGTCAAAAAACTGACCTACAGGTAACAGCCACACTAGACTGACAGTTTGTGATGGAAAAACTGGATAAACTGAGCAGGTAGAAAACTTTTGAATGTCAGTGTTGGTGGGCCTTGTGGAGCAGAGTAACCAGTGCATGCTTTACCCGTTTTAAGGTTATAATATATCTTGCTTAACATTACTGCATGGTGTTTCCTCGATACTTCTTTTTCCACTATATTATTTGCTCTTTTGGATGCATATTTTTGAAGTATTGCATACACAAAAATATATTATTTTCTGTATACAAACAGTAGCTCCTGGACTAGAAAAAAAACAGACTTCACGTGACTTTCGAAGCCCTATAAATTAAAGTGAACTGGACTAAATAAGGTTGCCTTCTGGTTCAGACATCCGCATCTGTTCATTTATCTCAGCCACCTCGGTGAATTGTGCTAATGCAGAATGAGCTGTGGCTTTAATTTTAATAATTTGTGCCGTGTGTGTGTGTGCTTGCCTTAGTCACACTTCATTAGGCAGCAGCAAGCCTCAGTTTAAACAGGTGTCTGAGGGCATGCTGCTCAGATTTTCTTTCTGTCTAAAAACAATATTTTATGACAATTTTTTACACATTTGCCACTCTTGGGGGGGACACATATTTTTCCTTTTATATGGATAATATTATTTTTTCAGAACATTAAACGTAATGTTCAGACTCATTCTCTTCATCAATAAAGAACAACAAATCACATGAAGTAGTTCAAACTGTATCAAAACATATCTTCAGTGTTTATAAGGAATGAAATGCACCTTAAGACCCACAGCTAATGCAGTCTCCAGCTGGTGGGCACCAAACACAGAGGTATCCCACAATCCTCAACTCTGTAAAATGTTTTATATACATGCCCAAACACATGTGTACACCCAGCACAGACACATAAAAAACCCAAGTGCACACAATTTTTTCTAACCGAGTTACACACAAACCAAGGCAAACACACCCTACGGCTTTTGGTTATGGTTGTTTTTCCTTGTGTGTTTACAAGTAAACTTTAGAATCTGGATGTGAAAGATAACATGCAAAACCCAGGACCACAGGACAGTGTAAATACATCGAAGAATTCAGAAGCTAATCAGAGCCCAATTTGGGTTAAGTGGGGGATTTCCTGTCCACAATCCTGAGGTTCCTCTAAGGATATTTTTATTTTCCTTTTGGTTTTTTATTTCTCATCACCACTACATCTGAGAAATGACACTAAATCCCAGCAATAAACAGTGTGTTTGTTTTTAAATGCTGGACAGTTTGTAATATGAGCGACTCCTGAAATATCTGCAGAATCATCTGACAGTTTATCATTGCTGTGCTTATCAGAGATTTGATATGCAGTTGTTGCTGTAATACTTATATAAAAACATGTTGCTCCTAGTTAATAGGCAATTTGTCAATTGTGGGAAAGTAGACTTCCAATTTCCATGAGAATTTTAAGCTTTTTAAGCTGTTTCTGCAGCTGTGCTTGATTTGATGATTGGGTGCATTTTTACCAAAAACTCTTCACACAGGGCACCTTTTTCAAATCCTATATGATATTTCAGTCCTACTTTTTTTCTTGAGTTATCACAGCTGAACAGCAAACCCATTATTTCTAGATATATGAATGTGACATGTGAACTCTACCAAAACCACAACTTATTTATAGTTGTAAATATTCAATATGTCAGAGATGTTGGATCCTCTTCTGACAGGTCTTCCATGTGATATTGACACTGTGACCATACTGCTACTACTACTACTTGGGTAAGGAACAGAATGGTTGGTAAAATCAAAATCAAGGGGACCTGTGGTTCCGTTGTGTGTGTCCAGTACCAGCCCCGTTTAGGTTTTGTGGATGTGCACAGGGTTACTCTTATGTTGAGAAGATTCATAACAAAATACAGCTCAAGTTTCTCTCCATACTAAATTCAAAATACTAACAAACTCTGATGACTTATCATATTTGATCTACTTAGTTTGCATTATTATTTGTATGGGAAGAAACCCCATATTGGTGGTTCTTTCTGTTACAGTAAGTAGTTGAGGTTGTTTATAATTACATATACATTACAGACTTGTTTGGACTTTAAATGGAAGATCAAACTCCACTGGGGCCATACATCCAGGTTTAGGCATTTTAAACTTAAGTGGTAATGCACAGTCCTCTTGTGCTGTATAAACTGTAAGAAACCATAAGGAAACACACTGTTTACTATACAGTCACATGTAAACACAGCCAAAGATCTATCAGGTTAACTCTCATTAATGGTATTAAATGAGTCAATTTGGATACATTTAATAGACATAATGGCCCAGACTGAATGGACCTAAATTACTTTAATGATGCCATATTCATTGTTTGGCATTATGTGGGATTATTGCCAACGCAAAGCCTGATAAGAGAAGAGTTAAATTGTTTATAGAATGATACTTGACAGAAGCAGTGGATAAATATATATAATGATGTCTAATATCTGCTGAAAAGTCTGTTGCTGAAAGCTGGATGTTCCCAGGACAATAAACATCTCTTGAAAGTTGTAAAAGTGACAAAACATGCAATTCCAAATGTTGCATGTATACATTAACTCAGCAGTGGTTTACCCTTCTTTTTTTCGCCTCCACTGTTTCCTTTGCTAAGACCAAAAATATGCTGTGTTCCTGTCTCTGGTGTGTTCCCAAGACACATGAGGCCACAATCCTGTTTCCCAGTGTCAGTTTAAATGTATTCAAATACGTTTTACATTCAAAGCTGTGGGACAAAGCAGCTTTATAACCTCTGATTTAGGTTTATTACAGCACCTCACAGCATTGTTATAGCCATAGAGGCGTTTTCCCAGTTGACCTGTTGGCCTCTGTTGGTTTACTTTACTCCTGGTCGACTACAAAGTTTCCTCTTGTTCTGCTTTTTTTTGTTCTGGTTGTGAACGTACCCACTGGAGCAGTCTGTTGAACTCATTGATCCTGATTGGAGGCATGAGGTTTTCTTTTTATGTCTGTGTGCTGGAAAGAATCATTCTCACACAGACTGCAGGCCCTGCCCTGCACAACAATGTTAGAATTTCCACTACATGTATTTCACTATCTCAGTTCTGGCTAGTGAGATTGTTATTGTAAGTTTGTTTCACCTGGCTTTGTCTTCAAAATCTGCACACACATTTACTCATGTTGTTAGGGTAAGTTTGGGACTGGATTATTATTATTTACATTTTCTTTTTTTACTGTTTACTAGTTTTTACTAGTCATAATATGCCACATTTCCATTGTAATTAGTGTATCTTTTGCACCGTAATTGACAAAGAGTGATTGCAACAGCTTCAAACGTTTGTATCTCTGTCTAAAAGCATGGTAATATTGGCTGTAGGTGACGTTAATTGACTTTCAAACTGTTTTCATAAGGGTTTGTAGGACATATGGTCCAAATCTATACACTACAGCACTAAAAATACCCCTACAATGAGTGCAATGATCAAGATGACTAATAGCATACATTTGTTTATGGTAATTATACAAATGTATGATAATTCCTTCCACAATAATCAATTGTTTAAACATTATATATATATAGCGCTTTTCTCAAGTGTGGGATCGGGTGAGCACCAGCACAGGGAGTGAGGAGCAAGAGGAGGACAGAAATACTGAAGTGGTGATGATGAGAAGGAGATGAAAGGGGGAAGAAAGAAGGAGTAATAGATGGGAAAATGTTGAACAGAGATGTGGAGGGG